CCTGGGTATGGGAAGGAAAAGAAACAAACTTTTTTTGGTTTGTTTTTGAACAGGATCTCACTATGGAGCTCTGGCTGACCTTGAACACAGCAATCACCCTGCCTCAGCTTCCTCAGTGCTGGGCTTACAGCTGTGCATCACATTAATTTTTTCAGGATGCATTTACAAGGTGTTAGGTTTTGACCTAGGTCTCTTCCATACATCATTTGATCATCCTGTCGTACCATGAAACAGGCATCACTGTGTCTATTCCATAAATGCGGAGACTGAGGCAGGTGACTCCCCGCTGCCCCAGGCTTCTGTAGGTAGTGAGTGGTTGAAGCAGAAAGCAGACCTCAAAATGAAAGTTGCTTTGCTCTGCTGTGCAGTTCAGGCTAGTCTTGAACTCACTTCGTAGACCAGGCTGATCTCAAACTGGTGATCCTTCTGCTTCAGCCCATTTCTGGGATTACAGGCATGTACCACCACACATGGCCAGGATGGAAGTCTCTTGTTTTCTTTTTTTGTGTGTGTGGTATTGGGGATTGAACTCACGACCTCACACTTGCCAGGCAGGTACTTATGCCGCTGAGCTAAATCCCCAGCCCCTCAGCAGCTTTCTTACCCAAGGAACTTAATAAGCCTGGACCCAGCAGACCCATCCCTTACTTTTTTACTGTAAGTCTGTACTTTAGTGTAATAGTACCCAGCTATGTATCTCAGTACGTTCCCTGAGGGATACGGGAAGCAATCTGTATTTATCCATTTGGTATGACAAATAGCAAGGAATATGCATATGTGCAAAAGTGCAAAACACAATTTTTCCCCACCTTATGCTCCTTCTAACTGGTTTTGTGTATGTTTACCCAAGCATCACAGAAGGTCCAGTAGACCCATTCCACACCAGAATTTATGTTTTAAAAAAAAATTTCCTTTTGGTTTTTCTGGTAGAAGTAGCCCAGTGCAGATTTGCAAGTTTTGGAGGAGGTCAAAAGTGAATTATCAGATTATTCATGCGTGTATGATGAAATGATTTATTATGGTAAAATATATATTTTTATTAAGACATGGATTGATGTACAGACACAGGAAAGGCAGACCACCTTGATTCAGATAAAGAAGAAAACAGCTTTGTGAGTACATATTTGACTAATTAGAATATTGTGAAACAGCCATACAACCAAATAGAAAGATTCAATGTTAGAATCAGGTCCAAATATATAATGAGGGTTTTGACAGAATGCCAGCACTGCTATTCATTTCTGTTTTTCTTTTGTGGAACTGGGGATCAAAATCACGACCTCACACTTGCCAGGCAGGCGCTTATGCCATTGAGCTAAATCCCTGGCCGTAGCACTGCTGTTCAATGTTGGAAATTGTAACAGATGAAATGCTAAAAGATGCTATGAGATATACAAAGGCTGAATGCAAGTCAAATATTTTTATGCACCAGTAACCATATTAAAAAATGTGTCATGACATCTCAGTAGCTGAACAGAGAGCATTCATAGGTCTGCTGTAGGTAGCATGGATTTCTCATGGTGATTGCAGGAATGTAAAAGACTTTGAAAAGCAATGGGTCAAAATATGGCATAAAAATGTATGGGTTTGTAGATGCAAGGACCTACTATGCTTTCAATTTAGACATTTATACTGGAGCTTGGCCATCAGGTCCTTATTCATGTAGTAGTAGTAAACAATGTTATGAATAGACTTGTTGTTCCCGATTCCCAAACTAATTAGAATGCTGTCATGGTTTATGTCAGTGGTCTCCAAGCCTCATGCAATTATGGACTTGATCAAATCTAGCATTGGTGATTGGTTCATTGTGTAGTGCTCAGATTGGTGGTGTAAGTGCTACACCCACCTAGTAGTGGAGCCAGGATACAATGTAACAGCAATGTAATGATGGGAAGAAGGTGTGTCTTGCTGTCTTACCAGTTTGCACCTTGCTGTTTGCAGCTGGCCGTGAATGGCAGCTGCCAGGCCACCCCTGTGTTGGAGCCAGCTGAGTATGGACTGAAATCTCCCAGAACTGTAAGAGAAAAACATTTCCTTCTCTAACTTCAGACGTCAGGTATTTTGTCTCAGCAACAAGTAAAAAAAGTAACTAAGACAAATGTGATGCTGGACAATTGATTTACCAGTTTCCAATCAATGTTACATTTGCTGACAGACCACAAGTTAGCCAGCAGGAGAACAAAGCAGAAATTTCACATGCAGTTTCAATTGTACAGTATAATCTTTGTATCTCAGAAAGAGCTAACATTGGCCTTCTCTAAGGCAAAGAAAAGCAAAGTGGTACTGCTGATGTCATTGCTTGCTTGCTTTTATTTTATCAAAGACACTTTAGGATTTGAGGCAAACAAGTAAAACAGTGTCTTTCTTCATACCATTCATCCAGAGTGACATAAATGCAGTGCCATCTTGGTGACATAGTCTTCCTGTTAACTTGACACAAAATCAGCTCTCCATCTGCAGACTGACTGCTTCCTTACTAATTAGTCCCTGTTGTGGTTTGTGTCTAGGTGGTCCCCAAGCCCCATGTAGTCATGGAGGCGACTGACTCTAGCATTTGTGATTGTTGTGTAGGGCTGAGATTGGAGGTGTGAGTGTTGCACCTGCAAAGCAGTGCTGACATACAATGTAAGGGCGAGAAGAAGTCATGTTTTCTCTCTTTGCCCTATTAGCTCTTACCACTTGCAGCCATCATGAACAGCTGTCCCTTAGCTATGCCATCCTGCCTTGGAGCCAGCTGAGTATGGACTGAAACCTCCAAAAAACTAAGAAATAAACCTTTCCTTCCTTCATGTTGGGCATCAGGTATTTTGTCTTAGCAATGAGAGAAAAGACAGTCCCCAGCTAAAACATAATAATACTGACAAAATAATTGTAATCATTCATTGGTCAGAGGGAATTTTAGTCTTAAATGTAGGATTCCATCATTTTTTTCAAGCAAAGCCACTAAAACACATGAGCCTGAAGAGGGCATGCCTGCTTCCTTACAGCCCAGCATTTGTCTTCTGAGGTAACAGGATGGCTGTCTTGTCTGGGTTCTGTTCTAGTCCTTATCTTTGAGTTCTTCTTGTTTCTTCTCACAGAAACTCAGGAAGTAGTCATCTGGCTAAATCCCTGCATTCTTCAAAATTTCCATGGCTTTTTCCAACTTGTGCCATGAATGGACTCCCCAACCTTTCTTGTGTCCAGGTACAGAGTAAATTCCTGGAAATCCAGGAGCTTTCAGGTGCCCACTATGCAGGCATTCCTGATACTGCTAGCTGTGTCCAACTGCGGGGAAAACACCAGTCCCGAGGACCCCTTGAGGTCCTGGAGGCTCACTTGGAATTCAGTTAACTGTGGCTGGAAGCCCATGGCTTCACTGGGTACCAAGAAGGCCTCCAGTGTGGCTGCAGTTCAGTGGGTGCTGGGCTTCTGCAAGCCGGGATCGCACCTCTCTGTCAGTTCACCACAGAACATTACTATTCTGTTGCAGAATCCAGAAATATTATCAAAATTCTAAAGTATGGTATTAGAAAAGTACAAAGGTTTCAGCCATGGCTTTATTTGAGTTTGTTATTTCCCACTGGAGCTAAGTGTCCTCATGACCGGCCACTCCTAACATGGTCCCCGTTGAAGGTTGAATGCCCTGTTGAATGGTGGAGGGATACTAAGGTAGGGCTTGAATTTACCATGTTTCCTGGAGGCGTTACCCACGATCTTGCTTTTCAATATATGCTCGAGAACCTGTCTAGGCAGCTGCTTTGATCATAAGACAAGTGTAACATCTGGTCCCTGTGCTGGTTAAAGGGAATCCAAATTATCCCAAGACAGCCTTTTCCTCCAATCTCGTGGTTTAAAGCTGAAGGTGGGGACAAATGCAGTGTTAGCTCAAGTTTTTCGAGAGATCATCGTTCGCAGACCTCCTCTAAGCCCTGGTACTGAAGCACTGGGCTGTGCACCTCCAGCTCCCCGGCAATCAACGCCACCTCTGTGTCCTGATTCTGGAAGAACTTCAGGGCCATTGACCGGCTTCCCGTGGTGCCCACTGCAGCCCCGGCCACAAAGCCACTCAGAAAATGCAAGGAGCCTCTGAGGCAGGAAACAAAACTCCTGGCAGCCGTCACCCTCGAGGAACTGGTTGGCCTCTCCTAAACATCTGTGGCTGAAATAGTTTTAAAGTTTACAGAGCAAATAACAAGTGCCAAATATCACAGAGAAATTTTCTTAAAGGACTGGGCCTGGAGCTCCTAAGAGATCCTTCGCAGCAGAGGAAAAACAAAATGTTTCTGTCCAGGGAAATATGGAAAAAAATTATGGAGCATATTGGTAAGCTGGCCAGTGCATCCCAAAGACCTGGACAGCAGGAAAACAAATCACCCATACGATCAGAGTGTGCCAGGAGTGTGTTCTGCATTAGATTTAATATATCAGAAGAGAGTTGATGTTAAAGATTTTGATGCTTTTTTTAATAAACAGTATTAAAAATTCAGTATTTTATTTTTGTGACATTTTTCCTGGTTAACTTATTATTAATTAATAAGTTATCAATAGAAATTTTCTAAAGGATAAATAGATAAGTATAGGGTTCTGGGGATTTAGCTCAGCAGATCAAGTGCTGCCAGGTAACCATGAGTTTGATCCCAGGGACCAATAAATAAATAAATCAATAAGTAAACGTAGGTCTGCATGCCCTTGGTGGCAGCATTAGTCTTATACCCCAACTTTAGCTGGGAGTCCGCCCAGGTCTAACTTTAATTTAAGAGTCGGTTGTGACAGCTGGACGTGGTGGTACGCCCTTGTAATCTCCAGCACTCAGGAGGCTGAGGCAGGAGGATTCCTGCAAGGTCAGGGCCAGCCTGAGCTCCATAGTGAGTTCAAAGCCAGGCTGAACTATCCAGGGAGACCCTGTCTCAAAAAAAAAGTGGGCTGTAGGAGGGAGCCAGGCATGGTGTGCACTCCTCCTGCTTGGGAGGCTGAGGCATGTATCAGGCCAGCCTTAGATAAGCAGCAAGACCCTGTGCAAAAAAAAAAAAAAAAAAAAAGTCAGCAGTGAGGATGTTTCTGGAGGCCAAAGATAATCCTGTGTGAAAACCACAGCCCCCAGAGAAGGAATGGGGCGTGATGGGACTTGAAACATAACCCCTGCTCCCACACCCCAGCATTTCCCAAGATGACCCCACTGTGTACCTGGGGGTACACAAGATGGACCCGGGGTAAAGGGGGCTCTGAGGGAGCCATGGATGCTTCCACACCTCAGGAGATGGCCTGGCCCATGTGTGGGACAGGGTGGTTTTTGGGTTTTTGGTTTCTTGTGTAAGCCTGACTTGAACTCATGGTCTCCATGGAACTCATGGAGATCCTCTTGCCTCAGCCTCCTGAATGCTGGGACTATAAGCATGTGCCACTGTGCTGCTGCGTAGGAGCCAGCATTTGGACATAGGAATCTGGCCCAGGGCTTTGGCCAGCTTTGAAAAGCCCCAGAACCCTGTGCCAGCCTGCAGTTCTGAGCCACTGCCTCTCTCCATCAGGTGGGGCAGTCTCCTGCCTGGCTAATGAGACACCCGTGAACACTGGAACACACTTCACCCAGGAGCCTAGAACCGGGTACCTCTGCCTCCAGGCTTGGCCTAATGATCCGTGGGTGTCACCTAGTGGTCACCGATGGCTGGTGCTTGGGAAGCCAGAAGAAAAATAACAACCCCAGAAAGGGTGTGAGCTGTGACCAGCCGCCCCCTGCTGTCCCAGAAAGGAGTGCGCTCCAGTGGTGGGGGTGGGGGTGGGGGTAAATATTCCCCACCCTTCGCAGCACCTGACAGTTCTCTTTTATCATTTTATGAAAAAAATTCTTTTTGGTATTAGAGATCGGAGCAACCAACAGGGCCTCGTGTGTGCCAGCAAGCACTGACACAGAGCTAATTTTTGGAGCCAAGCACGGTGCACACCTCTGATCCCAGCACTAGGAGGCTGAGGCAGGAGAATCATCAAGTTTGAGGCCTGCTGCGGCTACACAGGGACAGGGTCTCACTTTGTAGTTCCAGCTGATGTTGATCTCAATGCAAGTCTCCTCCTTCAGCCTTCCTCAGTAATGGGATAGAGACAGGGTCTCACTTAAGTTGCCCAGGCTGGGCTTGATTTATGATAGACTGCCTCAGCCTCTCAAGAGTGCTGCAATTACAGGTTGTACCACCAAGCTCAGCCTCAGGATTGTCTAAGGTTGTGCCCTGGCTCATCACCAAGCCACCCAGTGGGCCTCAAACTCGGTGACCCTCCTGCTTCAGCTTCCCCAGTGCTGCTCGCACTGTCTCTCCCTTGAGTGTAGACCAGCAAGGCTGTGTGCCATAGCTCCAGCCTGGGGCTGTGCTCCATGTTTGTCTCCAGCTCCTGCAGTCCTGTGGTGGGGAGTAGAGAGACAGGAAATCCTGAGAAGAGAAAGGGACTCTGGCAGGTGTGAATCCCCTAACTACACCTTTCCTTTCATTCCCCACTGTCCGCCTGTGAGGCTCCACATCCATGCTGAGTAGGGACACAGGGCACACACCTGTAATCCCAGCACTTGGGAGACTGAGGCAGGAGGATCGCTGGGAGTTCAAGGATAGGCTGACCTGTACAGTAAAACGGACAAAGACCAAAAAAAAGGGGGTGGGGAGCTGGGTGTGTGGCTCGTGATGGTAGTCCTGGGGTTGATCCCCACCCAGTGCTGGGGGGAAAAAAAACCCAAAAAGATAGAAGCCACACCAGCCCTCCTGCCTCAGCCTCATGAGTTCTGGGATTACAGGCCTGTGCCACCAAACTGTGTGTGTGTGTGTGTGTGTGTGTGTGTGTGTGTTTGTTGGGTAATGCGATCTGATCCCAGGCCTTTGCACTGAGCTACAGCCCTAGCCTTTTTAATAGCTTTTTAATTAGCTTTAACGCAGGGTTTCACTAAGTCACTGAGCTGTTCAGATTGGGCTCAAACTTGGGAACCTCCAGCCTCAGCCTCCACACCTGCTCCCTCTGCGCCATGATGGCACAATCCAGCTCTTGCCAGTAGCTGCAGCACTGTGCAGGGACAGAGGTCAGCCAGCCACACACCTGTCTGCAGGGCTGGGCTGAGGGACAAGACAGCAAGGTCAGTGTCCAAGTGGAAGCAGAGGTCCTGGTGATGCGGCTGCCGCAAGCTCTACCAGTGCTCCTCACCCTGGTTTAATCCGTTTCCCAGTCTGGCTTCCTGGTTTTCGTGTCAGTTCTGGTTCCCTATTATCTTCTTTTGCTGTCACTTAATCTGAGTCAGCTTCTCCCACTTCCTTGAAGACACCCAACGATACAGAGCTATTAGAAAATTTAGAGCCCGCTCTCTGTGAGTCTCCCTGTGTAGCCCAGGCTAGCCTCAAACCTACAGGCTCCTCTTGCCTCAGCTTCCCGAGTGACAGGAGTGTAGGCATGCTCCAATAGGCTGTGAGCTCGCCCTGTAATGTGAGCATGCGCACGGAGAGGGTAGGGAAGGAAGGCCGCCAGGGGCTGGTCCTCATAGGGTGCACAAGTTTATTTATCCCAAATAAATACAGCATGAAAACATCCATTTCAGTGCTTCAAACACTGGCCCCCATACACACACTAAAAACAAAACCCTGCACCTGTCACAGCGTGTGCGCCTGCGCAGCATTCGGTTGTCCTATGCCAACCCTCACCCGGGTGGCACCCAAGTTCCACTGTCTTCTGGCCCCTTCCAAGGTTTTGATAGTTTGTTCCCCATGGGTTTCTAGACGCTGGTGGCTTGGTCCCAAGGTGGCAGTTTGAGATGGAGACTAGTGGAGGACAATGAAATCAAGGGGTCTGCCATGAGTGGACGGGCTCCCGCTGGATTGGTTGTTCTACAGTGAACCAGGACCCTGTTATGTCTTCCTTCATTTTTGCAGTACTGGGGACTGAACCAGGGCCTTTCAACTGAGCTATATCCCCAGCCCTTTTTAAAACTTGGAGACAGGGTCTCACCAATCATTAAGATGTCCAGGCTAAGAATGGACTCCTGGATCCTCCTGGCTCAGCCTCCCAAGCCCTGGGATTACAGGTGTGCACCACCACACCCAGCTTGTCTCGTGTTCCCTGTTCTGCATCCTGTACCCTACTCGCATGCGCCTCTGCCCTATGTGCCAGATGCTGTGAGGTCCCACAAGTGCCAAACAGGTTTAGGCCTCATGCTCTTGCCCTTCAAGAATGTGCACTAAGTAAACCTCTTTTATTTGTATCATCCATGCCCTCTGGTGTTTTGTTATAGTAATGGAAAACTCACAAACACAGCCCTCTGCAGGAGAGGCTGCCAATCTCGAAGCAGCTATCTTTAGAGCTTATGCCCTCTACAGTCTGGACAGGGACCCACAGCACCTCACAGCTCTGCGTCCAGCCTTTGCACACAGCTGTTTCTCTGTGCCAGGTATCAGCCCAACAACATTCCCAGTGGGCACAGACAGGGTGAATTCTGAGCCCAGGAGGGAGAAATGATGGGCCCAGCTGGGCACTTGGTGCAGCACTGTGCCCCTGCCCTGATGCCCCTGAGGAATGGAGAAAGTTCACTGGGTCCCCCCAGTTATTCCCTAGGGGGCAAGTGGCTCCTTTTGCAGTGGGGACTCAGCGGTTCGGATCTGTGTTCTCCTGGTTGGAGCTTGGCTCCTCCTCCTCTGGGAACTCCTGGATCAAAGTCAGAAAGCCTGGTCACACTTGTGCAGTCTTCAGGGCCTCTGCTTGGAGCTGCATCTATCCTGTGGCCTCCACCCTCAGGGGCCAGCAGGGAGCACTGCTATCCCGGGCCTCCCGCCCTTGGGCCCATCCCTGGGTGACCCCCCTCTTACCAGACTGATACCCCTGGCCTGCCGCAGGGTGGCACAGAAGCGCAGCGCTCGGGCATCACAGCGGACCACCAAAGGGTCAAAGTCCAGCACCCGCAGGCCTTGCAGGCTGCGGGCCCGGGAAAGGGCCACATACGCCTGCCCACTGGCAAACACCCGGCTCAGGGAGATCTCCACGCAATCCAGAGACATGCCCTGGGGGAGAGGGGACAGGGCCTGAAGCCTTCAAAGGGAATTCCCCCACATCTGAGAGCCCAATCCTTTACCAGCCCAGCCCTTGACCCTGGATCTCTTCCGTCATGGAGTTTTCAGCCCAGAGAGACCCCCTACAGCAGACAGGTCTAAATACAAAGGGGCTGAAGCAAGATACCAGGGGTGGGTGGATGGATTGCAAATTACAGGCCAGCCAAGGCCACCTGACTACAAGTAAGGCCCTGTATCAAAAAAACAACAGTGCCTGTAATCCCAGCAGTTGAGAACCTTAGGCAGGAGGATCACTGAGAGTTCCAGGGCATTCTTGGCTACAAAGGGAGACTGTCTCAAAACTCCAAAAAGGAAAGAAATACAGAAAGAAAAAAGGAAGGGAGGGAAAGAAAGAGGAGATAGGCGTGGCCTGGAATTCCAGCACCTTGGAGGTGAGACACCCCCCCCCCCCACCAAACTTGGGAGAAAAAGCAAGTGAGGGGAAGACTGGATTATCTGAGGCAGGGAGTGGCGGGCTCGGAACTTCCCCACAACACCCCTGCAACCCATCCAGGCTCCTGCCATGTCCCCCACCTGGTGCTACCTGACTCTTGTGGATGGACAATGCCCAGGCCAGCTGGAGGGGCAGCTGCTGCCGGGTAAGAACCTGGCTCCCGGTGGCCTGCACAGTCCAGCGGTCCGTGTGGATGATCTCGGTGACCCCGCACAGGAAGCGCACCTGGGGCAGCCCTGGGGAAGGGGGGATGGTGCCACCTCAGCCCTGACCCATGGCACCATTATGGGAGGCAGGAGCTTCAGGGTGACCCTGCTGCAACCTGGCCAGTGTACCTGTCTTACTCACTCACCTCTGCCTTCTGCCTCGAACCCCACCACCACGCCTCGGGCACCATTCACCAGGCCACGAGACACTGCCAGGTTCTTCACCAGCATCACCTGTCAGGGGAGCAGAGTGGAATGGGGCGGGGGGGCTTCTGACCCTGCTCATCCTTACCCTCTGCAGGGAAGGCTGAGGGCCAGGACTGTCACAGAGGGGAATCGAGTCACAATCTATAGCTCTCCCAGAACTCCCTCTCGTGTCACAGGAAATGGCCTTTGCTGGGTGTGCCTTGGAAGCAGGTGGCAAAGCCAGAAAGGTGACCTGCATCACAGGGCTTTGAAATGTCAGACCTAAATTGGGCGTGGTGGCACTTGAGAGGCTGAGGCAGGTGGATCACTGTTAATTGGAAGCCACCCTGGGTTACATACTGAGTTCAAGGCCAGCCTGAACTACAAGGCGAGACCCTGCCTCCAAAAACTGAAAGAGAAAGAAAACCTTAAGAGGGGATCCCTTGTTCCTACCACACTCACCCCTTGGGTAACTTCTGGACCCTGAGCAAAGTCTCCATCATGGGAGGAGCATAATTCATCCTATTTATTTTGATACTGAGGCTTGAATTTGCAGTCCTCCTGCCTCAGCCTCCCAGAGTGCTGGGATCAGCACTCCTTGTTTTAGTGAAAAGGCGCAGAGCTGGATGGGGAAAAAGGCTGCTTCCAGGGCCAGCTCTGCCTGCGACTCACCTGTGCGCCCAGCTTCAGCTGCAGGAGCTGGCTCACAGGACACTGGGCGTCCAGGGTCTGCGCTAGCTCGGGGTGGCTGTCCAGAGCCTTGAAGCTGTGCACCTCGCCTAGAAACAGAGTGGGGAAACACTGAGGCTGCTTGGACTTCCCAAATCACGGGTCAGCACTGCACCTCCTCTTAGGGTCTCGATTACATCTGCAGACCCAACATCAGTGGTGGACACAGAGGCTGACAGCCTGGCTACGTTGTGGCCCCCTGGCCAGGTTGCCAGGGTGGGGGGTAGGTGGGTAAGGGGAAGCTGGCCCTGGCTCCCTGCTCACCTGGCAGTTCCTGCAGCTGCCTCTCGTTGGTTAGTGCCACGTCATCCTGGTGGGTGCAGAGTCTCGTGGCCACAATGCCATCTCGTCCCACCTTGTGGGCAGCGGTTGCCCTGAGCTGTTGGGTCACCTCATCTGAGCACCTGTGGGGCTGGGTTGTCAGGGTGGAGCTCACTGAACTCCGGGGACAGCAGGGGATACCAGCAGGGTTTCCCAAGTAGCTGGCTCAGGGGCTGGGAAAGAGCAACAGACACAGATGTACTGTTCCAGGCTGGCCTTGAACTTGCAGTGATCCTGATCAATTTACAGTGATCCTCCTGCCTCAGCCTCCCAAGTGCATGGGATTACAGATGTGCCACCATGTCTGGCTAAGATTTTAACTCAGACCCAGGTTCAAATCTCAGTGTGGCCACGACTTCAGGTAGTCATGGTGCCTCTTTGACCCCCACTTTCTACATCTTTGAACTGGGGGTACTAACAGTTCTCAACTCCTTCCTGTGTGTCCTTCTGCCCATCCTTCTTCCCCCATATAACCTACTTGATGTTGCCCTGTGCTGTGTGACAGAGACCCAAACCTGAGGGAGGCTGGATCCCAGGGACATCTTTGGAGCCAGGAAGTTCTTCACTACCCTGAGTCTTCTAGTGCCCAGGGACCCTCCCCCACTCCACCAAGTCTTCCCTTCCCTGAGCCCTGTGCTCCCCTTGTGCCACACCAGAATCCTCCCTGGGGTCCCTTCTGAGCTCCAGCTGTACCTGCCCACTCTCACAGCCTGCAGCAGGGAGATGAAGGTGGGGTCTGCCTGCCTCCACACCTCAGTCAGCTCCAGGCTCACTGGCACACACCTCCTCCAGCTCCTGGCCTGGCAGGGACAGGGATCAGGGATCAGGGATCAGGGATCAGGGAACGGCACAGAATGCTGGAGTGGGGGAGCCGGGCTGGGGTGAGCGGTACCTGGAAGCAGAAGCGAGGTGGCTGGGAGCCCTTGGTAACTGGGGGCAGCTGCAGAAAGTCCCCACAGATGATAAGCTGGATGCCCCCGAACGGCTTCTGCTGCTGCCGTACAGCTCTGTGGGGAGCAGGAGCTTGGGGACCATTCCTCCTGGGGGATCCCAGATGCCAGCCTCCGGCGCTGCCCTCCCGGGGCCCACTTACCTGGCCACAGCCTCCAGCTTATCAAAGAGATCAGCTTCCACCATGGAGATCTCGTCAATGACCAGCCGCTGGCAGCTCAACCAGCGCTGCCGCACGCCTGGCCGCTGGGCCAGAGCCACGCACTGGGCCAGGGGAGCCTGGCCGGAGCCAATGCCTGTGAGTGACACCATTCAACCCAGTGTGCTGCCAACCCTGACCTCTCCCCTCCCTCCCACAGGCCTGGATTATTTTTTTTATTTCTTTGGAGACAGGGTGTGGCTACGTAGCACAGGCGGCCTCAGCCTCCCCAGTGCTGGGATTACAAGTGTGCACCATGCCCAGCTACTTCTTCCTCTTGCCTTAACCTCAGCTCAAGCCCCAGGTCTCTGACTCACCTGCAAAGGCGTGGAGGGTGGTGCCCCCAATGTGGCAGGCTGCTATCCCTGTGCTGGCAGTGGCCACAGTGCCCGTGGGAGGCAATGAGCCCAGGATGCGCTTCAGCAGATAGGACTTCCCAGTCCCTGGGCCGGGGGCAAAGTCAAGGTTGCCTGTGCCTCTGCCCCAACCTGCACACCCCACACCCTACACCCCCAGCCCCACTTGCCCCCTACCTGCACTTCCGGTGAAGAAGACACTCTGGCCTTTCAGGACATGCCCCAGCACAGCGGCCTGCTCCTCTGACAGCTGTGGTTTGCTGTGGGGCAGGCTCAGCTTCTTCACCGGCAGAGGCCATCCTGAGGCTCCCTGGTCGGGGAGGCTGTAATCAGAGCCTCCTGGCTGCAGCTCAGCCCTGGAAGCCCTCTGTCTGTGCTCTCTGTCTGCATTCTTCCCTGGGCAGCTGCCTGGTTCACCTGGAGACACTACCAGCGCCTGCTGGGGTCCAGGTGTATGCTTGGATCCTGAAGACCCACTGGGTGGGTCTGGATCCTTGTTCAGCTCCCTTCCCTGGGAGCCTTGATCTTTAGGGCCCTGTCATCCAACTTTCCTTCTCATTTCTCTTCCTGTCACAAGCCTGTCTTTTGGCGGGTGTGGTTGTGCAAATCAGTATCCCTGCACTCAGGAGGCTAAAGCAGGAGGATCGCAAGTTTGAACCTAACCTGGGCTTTATAGAGCCTCCAGACCCTCATTTCCTCTTCTCCCTTGGCAGTCTCAGGGATTATAAAAGGAGAAGGAAGCACAGGCCACTCCTATGTCCCTGTCACACAGATGTCCCGTGGCATCTCGGCACCACTGGGCTCTCTCTGGCTTCTTCCATCTTTGGGGATGGAGGGCGGGCGCGTCCACCTCAATGGCGTCCCCTTCCGCCCTCACCTTGCTGGCCTTGCCAGGGGCGGTCTGTTCCACCGGCTGCTTTTTGGGAGCGAGTGTGGCGGCCACACGCTGCAGCTCCTCAGGCTGCACCGGGCTGAGGGAGATGAAGTCGCCGGGCCGTGGGCCGAGCAGCTGCGCACGCGCAGAAACAGGCGCGGGCCCGGGGGCAGCGGCCAGTTTGAGGCGCAGCGTGCGCAGGAAGCGGCGCAGGCGCTCTGGAGGGCAGTCGGAGAGCAGCAGCTGCGTGGCGCCCGGCCGCGGGGCGCCGGGGTCGGGGAGCCGCAGCGCGCTGCGCCCGGCCGCGGCGAAGCGCGTGAAGAGGCGCGCCGCCCGTAGGGGGAAGCAACGCGATCGCGCTGCGGGGCCGGGCGCGCGCAGCCGCAGAACCAGTTCGCGGCGTTCGTTGCGGCCCAGGCTCAGTTCCGCGCCGCGCAGGGCCTGGCGCCTCCGCGGCTGCCCCCCCGGGCTCAGCTCCTCTACGGCCACGCGGCACCGCAGCTCTGTGTCCTCGCGTTCCGCCGCCGCCGCCTCCTCGCTGCCTTCGAGCATCACCAGAGCCTCCGACGCCTGCAAAGAAACCCGAGTGCCTAGAATCACAGCACTCTCTTGCCGAAGCAGGATGATTTCAAGCTCGAGTTTAGGTTGGGCAACTTAAAGATTTTGAGAAACCTTCTCTCAAAATAAAAAAATAAAAAAGGATTGGGGATGTAGCTTCGTGCAGAGGCCCTGGACTCCACTCCCGTTCAAACAAAACAAAACCTCTAATAATGTCTCTGGCTACACAAAATGTTTGCAGAGCGGTGAATGGACTGTGGCAAATGCACCAGGAGTTGAGGCGTCTCAGTGGTCCGGCCACATTAGAATGGAGGTCTCTGTATTTAGGAAAAAAGCTTACTTCAAGAGACCCGGGATCAGATCGGACTGATCGGGGTTCCCTCCCCAGCAGGTTAGGGAAGGAAACTGACAAGATAAGCCACGCGGTCCATGGTACGTTCAGTGGCCTCTGTATGGCCAGGCAGGTGTCATTGTTGCAGAAGTGCAAACGGAGGCGAGGCGAGCCCAGTCGCTATCTGTCAGCCCATGGGCAGAGAGTGTCACGGTCAGTGTGGCTTGGACACGCTAGCCCTTCCCTCCTCCAAGTGATTTGGGAATCCGAGAAAAGCCGAGTCCCGGAGTCGGGGTCTCCCTTACCAGTCAGGACCCTCCAGGTGGGGGTCCCTGTCTCCGCTTCCCACCCAGGACTCTGACTGACACTTACTTGCCGGCGCTCCAATGAATATGGCAACCAGATCTGGTGGGCAAGCGAAAAGTAACTAGAAATTTTCAAATACTAGGGAGAGAAAAATCACCCTATCACTGGCTGGATCTTTAAAATTCGCAGCCAATCAGAGGCGGGGGCGTGTCCGTGTGTGCCTTTTATTGGCTCAAAGCAGAAGAGTTTGGGTTGTACCAATTACACCCTGAAGGAGGGAGGTTTATGGTGCTGCTGCGGAGCGAAACACAACACACCTCATCTAGATGAATGGGCGAGGTGGAAAGGCATCGCGGACCCAGTGTAGGGTCTTCTGCCTTTCTCAACCAGTTGAGACCAAAGACTAAGAAACTGTAAGACCAGAAAGGGATTGGGAAGCAAGTGAGTTCTTGTCTCCAGCACCACCTCCCCTATATACACTGGGAATTGAACTCAGGGCGCTACCTTGCACCTATGACTATACTGAAAGGCATTGAACCCCGAGGTGGTGGCACACACCTGTGATTTCAGCACTCCGGAGGCTGAGGCAGAAAGATCGCCTTGGGTTCAAGGCTAACCTGCACTACATAGCGAGACCCTGTTTCAATAACGAACAAAAAAATAAATGCCATTGAATAGCGTGCTTTGAATGATTACATCGTACAGTTAGTGAATTAAACACCTTTTTTTTTTTGTACCAGGAATCAAACGACCTGGCGCTTGCCGGGCTAGCCCTTAGGCCGCTGAGGTAAATCCCCGACTGTGAATTAAATCTCAATTAAATGTTTTTCTCTTTCAGTACTGGGGATTAAACCCAAGCTACATGCCCTGACCTTTTTATTTTTTGAGACCGATCTCTCCAAATTATTAAACTGACCAGTCAGGGATCAAATTTGCAATCCTCCTGCCTTAGCTTCACAGAGTTTTGGAATTACAAGTGTGCATCATCACGTTGGACTTCTTTGTCTTTCACCTATACCACCATCATACCATCATTCTACAGCTAATATCCTCTGTATTTATTACACCTTCACCCATCAACCCATCTTTGTATCATGCATTTCAAAATTGGTGATATCAATATATTTCTCTTCTTTTTTTTTTTTTTTTTGGACTGGGAATTGAACTCAAGAGTTTTACCCTCTGCTACTGAGCTACATCTCCAGCCATTCCTCCTCCCATTTACATTTTATATTGAGACAGGGTTTCCTAAGTTGCCCAGGATATCAAACTGAATCCTCCTGCCTCAGCCACCTATAGCTGAGATTACATGCATCCTCATGCTCAACAGTGCATTTCATTTATGGTACTGTAGCATGTATCACATTAAATAGAGCTTTTGTTTACTTTTTATGTTGTTTTTGTTTTGGTACTGGAATCTGGACTTAAGACCTTGTACTTGCCAGGCCAGCACTGTGCCACTGAGCCATATTCTTGGCCCTGTGTTTACTTTTTAAATACAAACTTTACACAGAGTGAAATGCACAAATCTTAGGTATCTCCAAGGGATTTTGACAAATTCATATACCTGTGCTGCCCAAACCTCCATCAAAATACAGAACCATGCTATTTGATTTAGTTATATCTGGCTATTTTACTTTGTGTTTTGTTTTGTTTGAGATAGGGTCTCTGTTTATAGTTCAGGCAGACCTTGAACCCTCTTATCCTCCCGCCTCAAATTCCCTAATGGTGGGATTGTAGGCCTAAGGTTTTTTTGATTAGCAACTTATTTTTAGTTTTGAGTATCATACACTTCAAACAGAATACTTTCTGAAAATATTATTCTGTATGTATTTAACAAATTTGGTAGAAGGACAAGCATCTTGCTTATTTGCATGCAACTGAGTTTTAATGATTTGAGGTTTTTGTTTTTTGGTACTGGGGATTGAACTCACGACCTTGCACTTGACAGGCAGGCTCTTATGCCACTGAGCTAAATCCCCAGCCCTGTAACTGAGTTTTAAGGAAGAGCCAGTTAACATAAAGTCACTGAGTGCAGGTGACAACGATGAAACTTGGCTGGGTTAACTCAATGGCACCATCCTGTCCAGCTGCACATATTCAGGGGACATGACTGCTAATGACTTCACCCATAGCACAAGCACACAGACACCGTGTCCCTGAAAAGCACGCTGTCATCAAAGCTGTAGCCTGTGGACAGGGCCTCATCTATCTTCCTGGCCCCCAAGTCCTCTCTCATCAGAACTAGGCCCTTCTCAGATGGAATTTGCATCTTCAATCAGTTTTCCAGCTGCATCTTCTTTTTTTCCCCCATCCCCTACATCACATCTTTTCACCCCCTCCTCTCCTCTCCCCCGCCCTTCCACCTGCATCTTCCTAGCTTTTCCTATACGGAGCCGTTGAAGCTGGAGATTGACCACATGTGTGGGGCTAAAGCAAGGCCAGCCCAGAAAAAAACAGAGACCAAAACAAGCTATGTAAACAAGTTGTTTCAGCACCAAGAAGGCAAGGGGTCCAGGTCTGCCAGGCAGTGGGTTGCTAGGCAGAGGGGCTGAAATTGACATCATCTTTCCCAGTATATAAATAAAGGTGGATCCAGGGTTTGAGCTGTTCCTTTCCTCCCATCAGGAGGATAAGGTCTCCACCTGACCCCAGCTTTGTCTTGTTTTTATTTTTGTCATCCTCTCTTCGGTTCTTCAGAATCATTATCAAAAACCTTTGCACAAGTTTCCTCTTCATCCTTTTTGTTTTCTGTGGGGGAGGGGACTCATGACCTCAAGCTTGCCAGGCAGGCGCTTACGCTACTGAACTAAATCCCTGACCCTTGCTCTTCATCCTTTTCACTAGAGTCTTTGTCAGACTCTCAGTACCTTCCTCATCTAACCCACTTTCAGAGTCCTCATCAAATTTGAATTTTTTGGTGTCATTTTCTACTGTTTCACATTTTTTTTTGAGACAAAGTTAAGCAGGCTTTGAACTCACAGTGACCCTCCTGTCTCAGCGTCCTAAGAAGTGGGGTTACATGTGTGTGCCACTGCTTCTAATTCTTGTCAGAAGGTGTTCAGGAGACTCCTTGTCAGAGTCATCCTCATCAAAATCTTGATCCAGATTTCTCCTAGTGGTCTTCAGACTATTTTCAGAGCAATCTCTGTCACATTTGCACTTGGAGGTGGCTGGTCTCTCCCTTTGTGGTCCTTGTCCCCAGCACCATTTTCAAACTTGTAGGCGGGGCTGTTTTTTTTTTTGTTTGTTTTGTTTTTATCAGTACCAGGGCCTGCGTTGCAAGCAGACAGTCGTGAGTTCGATCCCCGGTACCGATAAAAAAAGACAAAAAAAAAAAAAAAAAGAAAAAAAAGAAATCCTTTATTCCCATCCTCCTTGGAGTCCAGGAAGTTTACAGTTGTAATCCCATGGAAGCATTATTGGAATCCCAATGAGTTAATTCCGATCTACCACCGCCAGTATAACCCAAAGAGAGAATAAAGACACCAAGACGTATTCACAGTTACAGGCAGCCACAGGGTCCTGAGTCTGGTCCAGCCAAGGGTTCATGAAGCAAAGGACTCATCCCAGGGCTTGACCCAGAATTTATTAATTCATGAAGAAGGGAGCAGCTCAAGGATGAGTGACTGTGAGAACAGCAGGAATTATAAATACTGAGAGCTGAGCTAGCTAGCTGGGAGGCCAGAAAGCACCTCTGCAATATGCAGAGAAAAGGATACGCAGAAAGACCAATCTTCATAACACAACTGAGGCAGCATTTAACATTTAGAGAGAGGGCTGGAACCTCTGTTCTGATGGGCAGACTTTTTCTACCCTGGGAAGTCATAGCCTCTTATGTTGAGGTTTGAACTCAGCTGACAGCTCTGGAGCTGTTTGTTCTGCATCCCACTGGGCCCAACCATGTAGTGGGAAACATTGACATGAGGACACAGGGCTGTCCCTTGGCTTCAAAGATTACACATCAGCACCTCAGCTATCCCTGTTTACATTGCTTAGAGCCAATGGAAGGGAAAAGGAAATAGCTTAGCCAGCTCTGCCTATCAGTACATGAAGATAGGGCCAGGTTTAGCAAAGGTAGAGGTAACTGCTCTTTACTCAAGGAGAGCCGTTCACGTTCCAGTGGTCCTCTACACCTGCTAGCTTTTCCTTCCTTTTCCTTGAGATCTAGTCTACCTGATAATCCATGGTCCTATCCCATGATGGGGCTGTGATCTCTCTACCACCAAACCACTATACATCAAGGGTCTGAATCAATAATCAGCTTCCTCCAGGTCCCTGGAGGACACAGAGGCCACATGATCCAGGCACCTATCAAACAGAAAGCTGCTTAATTTGTCCAGACTTCAAGCACTCTCCTTGAAGATCTTTCCTGACTTCAGCACCAACACATCACCCTCCAAATCCAGCCAGTGAAGCAGAGTTTGAAAGCTCACAGCCACCCTGCTTGCTCCTTCTTTTTGCTCTTTCTGGGATCACTGGGTCCTGGGGCTTCCCCTTGTGGGCTTCTACTGCAGCCCTCAAATTGGGATCTGGGCCCCTGAAGGACAGCCAGAGGCACTGGCACTGGTCCAGGGTTGCTTTGGGTGTCACCATCCTTAATGTCGCTGTACAATTCTCACATTCTCAACTGCTCATCAAACTCATTCTGTCCAAGCTGTTGCCACTCATGTTTTTGCCTAGCAGGGTTCAAAGAGTTCAAAATGAGCAGAGATGAAAATGATCCCTGCTTTCTTACTTAACTTTAAATGTAAATGGGGGCAGCACAAGCACCTCCTGGGCAAGTGCAAGGTTTTGAGTTCAGTTCCTGGTACCAAATAAATAAATACATGTAAACAAATTAGCCAGGCATGGTAAGCCTGTAAGCTTAGCACTGTGGAGGCTGAAACAGGAGGGTCGCTGTGAGTCAGAGGCAAGGCTGGGCTACAAAGTGACTTCAAGGTCAGTCTGAAATATACCATGAAACTCTGTCTCAAAAAGGACAATAAAGAAAAAATAAAATGAAGTGATATTCAGTGCTCAGTGGTCACTGACTGTGACATTGGACAATGCAGAGAACATCTCATTCATGGGACAAAGTTCTGAAAACAGCAACAGCTCAAAAGATCCATCACCCTAAAACCCAAGACATGGTGTTTTCAGAAAGGAGCTTATGGTGGAGCTGGAATTACACATTATCCTGGGTGCAAGGCTTTCTTCATTCAGTAAAATGGCTTTGCGATTCATGCGTGTTGCTGTGTTTATCAGTAGCTGAATCCTGTATGCCTCTTTTTTCGGGGAAAGGGGAGTATTGGGTTTGAACCCAAAGCCTTTGTTCTGACCCTCAGCCCTCTTTAATTTTTTTTTTTTTGACACAGACTCTTGCTAAGTCTTTAAATTGCCCCATAAGCTACAACTTGCAATCCTTCTGCCTCAGCATCCCAGAGTGCCAGGATTATGGGTTTGCCTTACTAAACCCAGCTATAATATTCCGTTGGTTTTTTATTTTGTTTTTGTACTGACAAATGAATTTGAGCTTGCCAGGCAGACTCTGTTCTACTGAGCTATATCTCTGGCCCAATATTCTGTTTTATATGAATCTCTTAGACCTTTACCCAAAGTTACACGCACCCACACTTTCCTAAGAGAATGAATAGCGGCCGCTCCGCTGGACTACGCAACAGCCTCAGCCTCTTGGAGTTCCGCCCCCCCACCCCCGCCACACCCTAGCACCGCCTCAGGCCTGTCATCTGAATCTTGATTGGCTGCTGAAGGAGAGAGGTGGAGCCAGAGGAGCCCGCCCCTCTGCCCCCGCTCTGGTTGTAAGGCCGATTTCCGCGTACAGGCCTCTTCCTTAGCGGCCTGCGCTGCACAGTGTTGCCTCTGTGGTCAGATCCCAGGGAGGACCCGCCCTGCTCCAGGTCTCCTAGCTTGACCTGAAACCTAGTTGGGAGGAGAGGTCCAGGGCAAAGGTTTTTTCCCCTTTCCTTTCTTCTTTCCTTCCTCCCTCTCTTGTTTGTTGTTGTTGATTTTTCATGTTTGTTTGAGACAAGGTCTTGCTATATCCCAGCTGGCCTTGAACTTGCTATGTGGCCCAGGCTGGCCTTGAACTTCCTCCTGCCTCAGCCTCCTGAGTGCTAGGATTACAGGCATGTGTCACCATGCCCTGCTTTTATTTAGTACTGTGATTAAACCCAGGTCCTCTTGCATGCAAGGTAAGTACTGTAATGCTGGTCTACATCCCCAGCCTATTTTCTTTTCTTTTTTTAGGCAGGGTCTCATTGTGTAGTGCAGGCTGGCCTTGAACAAACACACAAGGATCTTTTTTTTTTTTTTTGTGTGTTTTTCCTTTTTATTGGTACCAGGGATTGAACTCATGACTGCCTGCTTGCAAGGCAGGCGCTTATGCCGCTGAGTTAAATCCCCAGCCCCACACAAGGATCTTACTGCCTCAGCTTCCTGAGTGTCGGGATTACAGGGGCATGTACCACCGCACTTGGCTAGCCAGCCTACTTTCTTTTTTTGCTTTCATAAATGACAGGGTCTCACTAAATTGTCCAGGTTGAGGGGCTGGGGATTTAGCTCAGCAGCATAAGCACCTGCCTTGCAAGCAGGTGGTTGTGAGTTTGATCCCTGGTACCGATAAAAAGTTTAAAAAAAAAAAAAAGAGCAAAAAAAAATTGTCCAGGTTGGTACAGAACTTGTGATCTTACTGCCCCAGCCTCCCAAATCCCTGGGCTTACAGGAGTGAGCCACCATGGCTGTTGTGTCTACGGTCTTTTGACTCTGACCCTGTGATCCTCTTAACTCCTGCCCAGATTCCTGAATTTCTGAGTCTCCTGCTTAAAGGACTTTCCAGTCTTTCTTGTCCTGGTCACTTGTATTCTGCACAAGTCAGATATGAAAATGAGCCTGTAAAATACAAATGTGATTGTGTCTTGCCCCACTTCAAATTTCAGTGGCCCCATGCCACTTGAAGGAAGTATTTCAAATCCATTAAATCAGCACTCAAGGCCCTTGGTACTGCAGATCCTACTGTCTCCAGGTACACGTTAAACACTGCTCCCGCCCACCATGCTCATCATTACAAAAATGGCTGGCAGTCCTCCTAACCAGTCAAAGTGTCCTCGAAGTTCTCACTTTTGTCTTTTTGTTTTGAGACAAGGACTCTTTATGTAGTTAAGGCTGGCCTTGAACTCACTATGTAGCCCAGGCTAGCTAGAATTCAGGGCGATCTTCCTGCCTCAGCCTGCCCAGGGCTGCGATTACAGGCCGTTGCACCACCACCTCTGACTCCCTTCCGACCCTTTAGATAAAGGAACCCAGGTCCAGACATGAAGGAAAAGTTCCCTTTACCTTCTCCCTCCTTGGCCCTGGTGCCCCAGGCTGCCTTCTTCACCGCAGGGCTAGGAAGGGCCTGGGAGCCAGAGAGCCGGGAGCAGAGAGTGAAAAGTGAAAAGGGGCCTCTGTCCACTGGCGCAGCTGCTGCTATGGCAGCCAAAGGAGGTCATCATTGATCCCTGCGGCAGTTAATTCTCTGTGCGGCGGCCAGAGGCAGGGCGATGGCAAGGCGGCTCTGGAGCTGGTAGGCAGCCACTGGTCTGGGCCTCTGAGTCTCCAGTACGAAATGAGGGCGCGCGGTGCAGCCCAATCTCGCTGCCCAACACTCTTTCCCCAGCGTTGCGAGCTGGAGCAGGGGGCTGGAGAGGCGCCTCGGATATGGGAGGCAGAGAAGGGTGTGCGACGCCCGGGGAGGGCAGGTCAGCACCGCGCTGGGAAACCTGGGAGAGCCAGGGACCCCCGACTTGGACCCTAGCCCCGCGTCTTCTTGCTATTCTTTTTTTTTTTTTTTTTTTTTTTTAACTTTCTATCGGTACCAGGGATCGAATTCACAATCGCCTGCTTGCAAGGCAGGTGCTTATGCCACTGAGCTAAATCCCCAGCCCCTACCCCGCGTCTTCTTGTTACACGACCCTCTGGGTCGGGACCAGAGCTCCTGTCCGGTTGGACTCCGCCGAGCCGGCTCAGCGCCCCAGAGATCAGGCCATCGCCAGGTGAAGGCGCTGCTCTGGGTACTCATCTGGGGGATCCCAGCAAAGCTGGGTCGGTTCCCTTGTCCAGGCCCAATGGGTCAGGAAGCCTCCGGGTCACCAGCTACCAGCGTCCCCAGGAGCACTGAGTCCACCTCGGCCCGCCGGGGCCCACAGGGCCCGCCCGTTTCGGCCAGCGAGCCGGAAGCCCCCGCACCCCCTTCCTAGTTCCTCTTGCTCCGCGGGTCCCGGAAACCACTCTCCCCTTCCCCTAGCCCCTCCCGCTTCCTCCCGCTTCAGCTCCGCCCTGTTCCTCAAGTCAGTCTTTAGACCACGCCCACGTCCCCGCCCCAAGCCCCTCCCCTCCCAGTCTTCTCCCCAGCTGAGGCTCCGCCTCCAGACCCCTCCCTAACCACGCCCCTGCACGGATCCGCCCCAGTCTCCTCCTCCGCTGCCTTCACGCCCACTTCCCGCCTGGGTCCCGCCCCTTTCCCCGCCTCCGGAAGCCTCTCCCCGCCCGAGGCTCCGCCCCTTTGAAGTTTCTTGGGCGCCCGGCGAGCAGCGGGACAGAGCATAGCGAGCCGCCGCCCGGCCCGCGCGGATGGAGCCCGCGGAGCCCGCGCGGCGCGGGCAGTGAGTGGCGCGGCGGCGGGACTCAGTGCACCTGGTGCCATGGAGGAGGAGGTGAGGGCCGGGCCGGGCGTCTCGGATCCCCCCTCGGGGTTGGGGACCCGGGCTGCTGCCCTCCCCCTCGTCCTCGGACCCCCGGGCGAGCCGGGGCGGATGGGGCAGGGGCGGGGTGGAGGTCGGGCCCCGACCTCCCTCCGTGCGCCTTCGCCGTTTCTCACCTACTGTGGGAGAAACATGGTGCTTGTTGACCCCATTGGGTTGATGGGGAGACTGAGGCCTCAGCGAGTTCGCTGACTACCAAAAGCGGCCTGGCAGCTGCGCCGTACCCCCGTTTCCGTCGAGCCGGCCGGGGTCGGATCCAGGGCGTGTGCTCGCGAGAGATGGCCCCGGGTTCCCTAGAGCAAGGAATCTGAGGTCCTGCCCCTGCCCCCGGCAGGAGGGTTGAAGAGACTACTTTTTTCTCCCCGTGTACCTCCCTGGGAGTCCTCCATTCCTCCCCCGCCCCTCCTCTGAGGAGTCAGGGCCCCACCGGTCGGCATCCCTAGGAAAGCTGGACCAGCAGCGGCCCTGAGCCTCCCTCTACCTTCCCAGGACACTCAGGGGTGAGCCAGGTACTCTGTGACCTCTACCCTTCGCATGCACATGGTTAGCACTTCATGTCCACTTATGGATGACCAAGAGGAAGACCTTGCTTCCCATCCCTTAGATGATTCCCAGCTTCGGCTTTTCCAAGGCTTAAGGAAGAGAATGCATCTTTGCCTGGATGGGTGATGGAGAGGTGAAACCTTCCCTAGCAGGGCAGCCCTGGCCCCTGGGGAGCCCTGAGCCCTGTGTCCCTGTCTGTGTCCACCTCCCTACTTCCTGGGGCCACAGCTCAGGAGAGGCAGGCTGCCTCTTCCCTCCAGGCCAGGCCTGCATTTCTGTGGGATCGTAGATAAGTCACTTCCCCTCTCAGCCCACGGTTCCTCTTCTATAAAAGACAGAGAGAGCCCAGCCTCTTCCTCCAGCCTGCCTCCATCATCGACCGCGGCTGTCCTCTCGGGTAGGGGGCCAAATCAGGCCTCTGTGATTTGTGATAGTTTCTTGCTGTCAGGGCTGGGGCTGCCCTGTGTGCCCAGGGCCCCTGCTTTAAGGGCTGAGCTCTCTGGCAAGGCCCCTCCCCTGCTCCTGGCTGATGTGGGTCGGGATTACTCCATCTCCTCCTCTGCTCTGGGCCCCCAGTTAGAGGAAGTTCTCCTGGGGCCATTTGGACTCAGCTGGGCTCTAATCCTTACCCTCTAATCTTGCTCCTTCTGACTCCTAGACACCTAAAAGGTTAGCAGGTTTCCTGGCCATCTAAAGGCCTCTTCACTTCTAGTCCCAAGTCTTACCCTCATCACCCTCTCCTCTCCCTCCCTTTAGCACCTCCCACTTCTTCTAGTAGCTTACTCTTGTTTCTGTAGGCCACCATGCTCATCCTTGTTCCTCTCATAGACCATGGTCACCTACTGTTTCCTGTGACCTCCCAGCCCCTCCCCATCACCTCCCTTCTACATGGCTGGTTTCAACCCTCCTGCTTTTAGGACCATCCTGCACCTGGAACCCTTAGGCCCAGTGACCTCCTTTCACACAGTGGGCTGTCATCCCTGTCAGTTTGAAGCTTGGTGGGGAAGTACTAGGCTAGGCACTGAGCTTCTGTCCATCTGTGCCCTCAGTTTCCCCATCTGTCCATCTGTAAAATGAGAGGGGCCAGGGACCTGTAACATGGGATGCCTGTGCAGGAGCTCTGAAAACTGCAAACTCAGCGGAGGTGTTGTGGCTGCTGCTGGAGTACAGCTGGAAACTCCGAGTTTCCACTTCCCTGTTTCTCCTTGCTGCTGTCCCCCAGCCATACCCTGCCCTGGCTCCCGGCCGTCCACTTGCTGTCACCCAACTTGAGACAGGGTAGTCAGTGTCCTGTCCCAACACTGATGTTGGGCTAATCTTTTTCCCTTTCTGCCCTTGATCTTAGGAGGCCGACAAGCAATTCTCTTTCCCTTTCCAGGCTGTGCTTTCTCTTCCTGTAGCGCAGGGGTTGAGCATGGAGGGTCTGTGGTTCGCCACCTTCTCTGGGCCAGGTGGGTTTCCCTTCCCTTCTTTGAGCCTTACCTTGTGCAACGACTTCCTGGACTAACCCCAGTGGAGAGCTGGACAGAGGCTGTCTTTCACCAGGGGACACCCACCCAGCCCTTGCACTGAAGCTGCCTGTGGGTATCTGTGTGGCCCCATCCCTGAGGCAGAGTATCTCCTGTCTGACTACTTCAATCCAGAGTCCTTACCTGGAGGGTTCCCAGGAAAGCAAGATCTAGGCATCACTGGGCTTGGTCTAAGGGCAAGTGCCATCATGAGCTGCCTCATGCTGTGGGGTGCCAATGAGGCTGCTGCTTCTACTTTGTTGTTTGATTCTTTCTTTCTTTGAGACAGAGTCTTGGTACATATTCCAAGCTGGCCTTGAATGTAGGGTGATCCTCCAGCCTCAGCCTCCTAAATCGTGGGATTATAGGTGTATGCTGCCATGCCCAGTTGCTGGTCTCTGTCCTAATCTTGTGACTTTCCATATGTCCTCTTCCATGCCCAGGCTTACAGTGACCTGGCTTCTTTTTTTTTTTTTTTTATGGGTTACTCATAGACTTTTCCATGTCAGGTACAGGGGAGCCAGGCTGGTTCCTGGGGTATGAGGAACTGCTTCTGCTGAGCCTGGGAAGGATGGATGGGAGGTAAAGAGGCACAAGGGGACTAGTGGCCAGCTGATCAGTGCAGGCCAGGGGGCCAAGGAGAGGCTGGGCTGAACAGGACAAAACCTCTCCTGTGAACCTTGCCAAGGGGCTGGGCTCCTTGTTAAAACTCCCTGGGGCATAGCCAGGCCTCCTGGAGGGAGGCGGTCTGAGGGGGCAGGGACAGGACTGGACAGAGGGTAGGAGGCCTCCAGCCAGGCCCCCTCACAGTGGCTTCAGCCCCTCAGTTGTCTCCTGTCTCCCTCCTGCCTGTCTTGGTCCCACCCGTCCTCCCAGACCTTGGGTCACCTCTAGCTGATCCTGTCACTGTGTTCCTGGGTACTGCTACACCCAGGCCAGAGATGATAGCAACGGAGGCCCTGGATCTTCCAGTTCCAGGGGAAGTTTCACATTGCAGTAGCTGGTGTGGTGGGCAGGCCAGGGAGCTCCTAAGTGGAGTGAGTTGAGAAAGGGAGGTCCCCTGAGATGGGGGGTGGGACCCCAGAAAAACTTGGATTCAGAGGTGGGAGAAGTGGTGGCAGCTTCCAGTCCATGGTCCCATCGCCCAAGAGAGGCACTGATACGGTCCCAGATGCTGGAGCTGCTGAGAGGAGGAGGGGTGTGCTGTGGGAGCACGGGAAAGGGGGTTCCCACTGTGCGGAAATGGGTAGCAGTAGGACGGGAGACCCTACCCTTCTCATTGAAGGACCCTGGGATCCCCTCTTCCTCTGGACAGGGCTGCTCATAACTGGCCAGCCCCTCACTTCCTGTGCTTGGGAAGACTGCATGGACCATCCTGCTTCCCTGTTTCTCTTGCATCTACAAGTTGGGGAGGGACTCCAAGGCAGTTCCCCATATCCCCTGGGTGCCTGGAAGTCAGGCCAGCAGCCGAAGTCCAGAAAGACCTTGTCCAGATGGGCAGCTAGGCCAGGCAAGATGGTCCCTGAGAGCCAGAAGGTAGGGCAGTGACAGTGAGAGTGAGGGGAAGGCCAAGTGCAGTCTTCTAGGTTGAAATACCCCAGGTGCTGCTTTACCTGTCTTAGCTTCTTTCAGCAAAAGATGTTCATTGAGTTCTTAGGTGCTGTCACCACCCTGGGAACAAAAACCAAAATCTCTGCCCCCACAGAGTCATTTCTTAGCCCAACAACCACTGCTAACATCTCCCTATATTGGATTAGCTGAACCCTAGACAAGGCAGTTTGTCTCCCAAGTTTGTGACTTGGGCTCCAAAGCCCAGACTCCCAATTGCATGATCGTGTAGCTCCAGGAGGTGGCAGGGCCTCAGGAACAGCCACCCTGGGGCTCCCTTGCCCAGCCCCTGACAGCTCTCATCAGTTACCTCTGCCTGGGTTTGTCCTCCTGAAGACAGCTGTGGCCGCAGGCCATCCCTGGGGAGAGGTGTGCCTTTTTTAACTGGGGCCCCTTTTTTGAGTTATATGTAGTCAAGATTAGTTAGTGCTGGTTTCCTCCTAGCATCCTCTGGGTCTGATATGCTCTTGACAGCCTCTCCCCTGAACCCCACTCCACGCTCGCTACCCTGGGTACCAGTCGGAAGCCCAGTGGTTAGCAGATGGGGTGTATTTTTATTTTTGTTACACTTCATTTTTGTTGCTGTCTCTTCAGTCCCAGTGTATAAAAGAACAGGGCTGAGTGCTGGGAACCGAGTCACAGCCAGCCCCATCTGGTAGGCAGGGACTGTAGCAGCAGCTGCCCAGGCAGGCAGCACATGGGGCACAAGATGCCTAGAGCTGCCCCAAGGCCACAGGGCACCCGCCCCGTCCAGGAAGTGGCTTCGGTTGAATACCTCTAGCATCAGCCTGTGGTTGAAGGAAGGGATCTGGGGACCTTCACCTGCTGGGTAGTCCTGACCTTGTGTGGGGTGGGAGGAGGCCAGCGTGGCCTCCACTGTGGGACAGGAAGCTGGGGCTGCCGCCTGGGTCCTGACAGGGTGGGGTGTGGGGGCAGCGCGCCCTTCAGCCTTCCTAATCCCTCCCATCCTTCCTCTCCCCACTGAAATGTGCTGTCTTCCCCAAGGCCTCTCTGGGACACCCTGGGTGGGAGGAGCCCCCTACACTTCTCCAGCCCCAGTTTGTGTCCTGAGTGGCATCGTACACTGGTTAATATGCTTGTGTCAGGTGTTTATTTGTCCAGCTCCTCTTTCCCCACACCGTGGCTCCTTAAAGGCAGAGGCTGCATTAATTTGATTCTTGGACGACCTGAGCACCCTGGGCATTTGTTGCCTGGCTGAATGCACAGGAGGTGGAAGGGGTGGTGTGGGAGAAACCAGGATTGGAGACACTTGCTTTGGTTCCTGGCTCTGTCCCTCCAGCCAAGTGACTGGCACATCGTGTCTCCCCCTGAACCTCCTTTTTCTTGACATGTGGGTAACAGCATTGCCGCTTTGAAGGGTTAAATGAGACTGTGTATGTGAGAAGCAGGGTGTTGGCCTAATGGAAGGTGGCTGCTGCTGTTATTATTGTCAATCTGCATTTTTCTCCTCCCGTCCCCTCCCCTCCCTCCTCTTCTGTTTCTGTCTCTATCTCTGTTTGTCTTTCTTTTTGGCACTCTGACCATGTTGCTCAGGATGGGCTTTGAACTCACAATCCTCTTGCCTCTGCCTGCCCAATAGCTAGCAGTATCATGGCTTGGGCCGCTGTGTCCAGCTCTCTATTATTTCTGATACCGGGCAGGGATCATGGGGAACCTCACACAGCCTGATGCTGTGAGGTAATGGGCACAGATGCACATCCCTCATGCGGCCTGCAGAGCAGGTGGCCTGTGGTGGTGGCTCTCATGGCATGTCCTGGCACTCTCTATTTTACAGGGCATGAAGGAGGGTGGCGGAAAGCCTCAGGGAGCATGGACGGCGGATAAGTCTGGCTGGATCAAGAAGGGCAGCGGGGGCCTCCTAGGCCACTGGAAAGATCGATACCTGCTTCTCCGTCACGCCCAGCTGCTGATCTATGAGAATGAGGTGAGCACGGGTGACCCTGGGCAGAGCTGGAACACTTGCTTCTGCCATCTGTGCCACCCTGGCGAGTGCCCCTCTCCTCTGTGTGTGGTGTGGGACAAATGGATAGAGCCCACTAAACCCCTAGTACCTATAATGCATGAGTCTCTTAAATGACCTGTGTGCAGAGCTTCCAGCCCGGGGCAGGGTTCCTTGTAAGTCCTCCAGAACTGAAGCCTGCTCCTTTGAGCAGCGGTAGCAGAAATACTAATGCTTGGTAGTTACTTGGAGATCTTACATGTCTCCCTCCCTCTCTCTTTTTTTTGCTTTTTATTTTTTTCTTTTTTGATATAGGTCTTGCTTTGTCTTTTAGTTTGAACTCACTGTGTAGCTCAGACTGGCCTCAAATTTGCAGTGATCCTCCTGCTACAGCCTCCCAGGTGCTGGGATTATAGGTGTGCTCCCTCCCCGTACTTCTCTTGAGGTGGTCCTGTGAGCTCGGTCATCCTGTTGTATTTTACAGAGGAGGATACTGAGGCCTAGGGTGGCAAAATGACATTGAATTCAGCATCTCAAATGATTGGAGGACTCAGGTTCAAAACCACCACCCACTAATCTCCAAAACCTATTTTTTGTGGAGTTTTCTGAAATATGTCAAATATCTCTGTCTTCTACAGAAGGTGCCGGCCTACTCTTTCCTTGGTAGACCAGAGTCATTTGTCAGTCTGTCCCTTACCACCAGACTGTGCTTCTAGCTTCTGTTTCAGGGAGAAGCCGCCAGGTGCCCTTTCTGCACAGGCTCCCGTGTGCCTGCCTGAGTTTGCACTTGAGGAATAACTTTTCCCTGCAGATGCTGGGTGGGTCCTGGGCTCGAGGTGATCAGTTTACTCACTCTGTGTGGGGGACTCTCTGTGTCACTGTGACCCTCTGACTCCCAGCAGAGCCTGCCTTTCTTCCTTATCAGTCTGTCTTAGCTTCTCTCAGGGTATCCCAGAAAATTCCTCCTTGTCTCCACCAAGGTGGAGATGGCCTGGGCTCTGGTGCCCACTGAGCTGCTTTGTGAAATACCTGATTGTCCTGTCCGCCTGAGTCCCTGGGCTCCTGGAGCTGGGGTGTCTGAGAAGCAACAGGCAGAGGCCAGAGCATGATGAGAGTGTGCAGATAGCCCCCCGGATGTTGTGTCATACTCTTTTTTTTTTTTTGTCTTTTTCCTTTTTATCAATACCGGGGTATTATCAATATCACCACTGCCTGCTTGCAAGGCAGGCACTTATGCCCCTGAGCTAAATCCCCAGCCCCTCTGTCTCAAGATACTATACACACTGCCACAGCTGGGAATGTGGGTGCAGAGGGATATTTTTATAAAGCAAGGGGGTTGTTGCAACTCCCCCCAGTGCCAGCTGCCAGCAGAGTGGAGTGACAGGCACTCAGCTGTCAGCCCGTCAGGTGCTGCCAGATTTGTCCTGAGCTGCTCTCCACATCTGGCCACAGCTGGGAAACAGGAAGGACTTTATGTCTCCAACAAGAAAAATCCAAATCACGCTTTTTGGAAAAAAAAAAAAAATCAGTATTTAAAAAAAAAAAAAAGAACAAAAAAAACCCAACTTTGGTATAATCTCAAGAACTTAGCACTTGGGTGGGGAAGCTTGGCCCAGGAGTGGGAATTGAAAAATGCTTATTAGTTCAATTCCTCTTTCTGATGTAAAGATTCAGGCGAGTGCAAGACGGCTCTTGGCTGTTTCTCTGCTGTCAAAGGCTGAAGTTCCAAAGTTGCTGCCTCCACCCAGGGCCTGCTGCTTTATCTGCTTTGCAGAGCTGCAGGAGGGCCCGTGTGATTCAGCATGTAGCGGGGAGAGGGGACCCTGGCAGGGACTTGGGTGGTGAAGGCCCTGGGCCTGGGAGGGGGAAGCCTGTGGCTGGTTCAGGGTGGTCTTGTGGACGTGGGGCAGGTGAACTGCTCCTGGGGGAGCTTCCCTGTTGGGTGCCCAGAGAGCAGCGGGCTTCCTGGTGTCTCCTGGTCCTTTGTGTGCTCCTCCTGAAGGGCCCAGAGAGGGGACAGACACACAGAATAGGGTGGAGAGAGCTGGCCAGGCTGGGGGTGGGGTGGGTTAGGCCAGTGCTTATCTGTCCCTGAGATCCAAGCCCCTAGCACCTAACAGGTCTCCGTCCTTGGCAGGTGCTTTGCGGGTGTTTGTGCCCCAGCAGGAAGTGATGGGGGCTCCAAGGATTGAGGGCACTAGGAGCTGGGGGCCTGTGGGAGGTGATGGGGGTTCCCAGAATAGGAGGCATTTCTGGCCCTTGTGTTTCATCCCGGGGAGGGATTGGAGACTGGGGATAGAAAGGGACAAAGGGAAGCAAAAATGAGAAATAATACCTGAGCAAATCTGCCAGGAGCCATCTGTTTCCCTTCCCCTGAGGGCCAAAGATAGTGGGGACCGGTGGGTAGCAGCCTTAGCTGTATAGTCATCTGCTTTCAACAGTACTGAGCTCTGGGTCTCATAAGAGATCCAGATATCTTTGGTTTGGGGTGTTGCCTGAGCATTAGGCTCTGAAAACTTTATGCCACTGTTGGGCGTGCTGGTACACACCTATAATACTAATAGTCAGGAGGCTGAGGCAGGAGAATTGCTACAAATTTGAGGCCAACCTAGACTGTTTAGTGAGATCCTGACTCAAAAATAAAAAAGTTTTATGCCTCCCAAGGTTAAGAACTTGTGGTATACTGTCCACTTTCTCGTACAACATAACTCAGAATCCCCTGAAAGTCTAGGTAAAAATGAGGATTTAGCTAGGTATGGTGGCGCACTCCTGTAATCTCAGCACTTTGGAAGACTGAGGCAGGGAGATTGAAACTTCAAGCCCAGCCTGGGCAATGTAGGAACTTATTTATTTCAAAATAAAAAAATCACAACAATAAAAAAAGTCTGGGGGTGTAACTCCACCCCCAGAACTGCAAAAGACCTGTGTTTCTAAGTTTCTTATTCAGTATGGAGGGAACCAAGGTTTCATTCCTAGCAGGTTCCCAAACGGTAATGGTGCTGGCCAAGGTGCCACAGTGTGAGGACCTGGGATTGAGGAGGTGCTGCTCATGCCACCAACCCGGGAGGAGAGTGGTATGCTGGGAAGACCCTGGCCTGGGCCAGGCAGATTGAGGCAAATCTCTTCCCTTCCAGCTTCGTCTGCAGCTCTCAGGAAGCTGCTCGAGGGACAGGGAGCCGAGGGGTGGAGGGAAAACCATCAGGGCGGGGGACTGGCGGGTTGTGGCCCACCTGGCACTGAGGCCTCTGAGTGGCATCTGGAGCTCAGTGGGGTGCTTGGAAGTGAGCCTCCTCCCTCTGCTGCATGTGGCCAGGATTGACAAAGGAAGATGGCAGTTAAGGGAGCCACCTCTGGGTCGCTGCTGCAGGCAGGACATGGGCCTCTAGCTGTGTCTTGTCCACTCTGCCCTCTGCCTCTCTGTTCCTACAAAAATCTCTGTCTCCTCTCCCCTATTTTGTGTCATCCTGTACCCTTCTTCTAGGCAAACTGTTTCGTAGGTCCCTGCCTGAGCCTACAGCGTCCTTTCTGAGCCTCCCTTCTGGCCTTTGGTGCTTTAGACCCGGCCCTCAGCCGCCCCCCATTTCCTATCTGCACGTGGAATGTGCCTCCCTCTAGCTGTCACAGATGGCTCCCAATCACCCGCCAGGGTCTTGGCAGCATGGCAATATGGTGTCCTTTCTGAGTGGAACCAGTCCCTGAGGCGTGGCCTGGTGGCAGAGGGTCCAGGGAGTCCAGCTGTCCTAAACTGGCATTGCTTCGTCTCTCTCACCAGGATGAGCAGAAGTGCGTGGAGACAGTAGAACTCGGCAGCTATGAGAAGTGCCAGGACCTCCGAGCGCTCCTCAAGCGCAAGCACCGCTTTATCCTGCTGCGGTCCCCGGGAAACAAGGTAGGTGATGCCCGAGGCGATTCCTCCTTGAAGCCAGGGTCTGCTCCGGGACAGCACACTTCGGGGTCGAGCCAGGATGGGCCCTGCCACACAGCCAGCAGCTTCCCTGTTGAGTGGGCTGAGGCTCAAACCCAGCAGCTGCCAAAAGTTGGACCTTCTGCCTCTTTTGTCTCAGAGGTGCCCGCCCCTGCTCCATGGGCGATGTGCTTAATGCTGGGCTGAGAGCTTCCTCTGCTCTCTGCTTCCGGGCCATGGCCTCTGTCCCAGGCTGTGGTCAGCAGAACTGCCCCGCTGAGAGATGGCCTGGCCTTCACCTGAGCTCTGCACATAGAAAATCCAGGCTGAGGCCAGACAAGGCCCGCAGCACCCTCCTGGGTGGGTGGCCGGGGGCCCCTAACCCCACTCTTCTCTTTTGGCTGTTGTCGAGGAGGGCTACTTGCCTGGGAGACTCAAGCCCAGGACCTGCTCCAGCCCTGGACCACTCCTCCCAGGGGTCAGGGACATGGTGTACCACTCCTCTTGCCAGCCCCTGCCACACCCTGCTCCAACCTCTGCTGTCACGTGGAGCCCTAGCGAGGCTGAGTCACAGAGACTGGGGCTTGAGGTGCAGGTCTGGTCTGGCTTGCTGGGGCTACTCTTTTCTCTCCCTGACATAGCCGCAGAGGTCTGAGTCTCAGGTCCCTGGGCTTTTGGAGGGGGCCATGATGCTTTCTTTACTCATTAGCCCCTTGCCGTGCTATGCAGGGAACAACAGGGACAAAGAAGCCACCAGAGCTGTGGCACCGAGGAGCTAGAGGACGCCCCCAGGGCACTGGTGGCATTAGCCTGTCTTTGGGCTCATGGGCTGGACTTGCAGGCCTGCTGCCCCGAGTGCCGTATGGCTATGTGCCTTCTCAGTTTCTGGCCCTGTACTTGTCATACGGGGTATCTGTCCTGGTGTGCATGCAGGTTGTCTGACCACTGTGGGTGTCCCCCTCATGTGCATGGTGTGCCTGCCTGGCCTGTTCTCAGCGCCTATGGATGTGGGGCAGGGCCTCACCTCTGGGTCACTTGCCTGTGGACCTGTGAGCCCCCTCCTGTCCCAGCTCTGAACATCCCTGGTGGTGGCCTAAGTGGGTCGGCCCAGCGCAGGGTGGGACATCACTTTTAAAGAGGTTGTTTGTGCAGCTGCATTCTCGCCAATGCCCTCCTCCCACCCTCAGCCCTGCCCAGAGTTCAGGTCCAATCCTGGGGTATGGGACAGTTGGGAGAGGGGGCTGTGGAGCAAGTGGTGGTGGCCACAGGGGCGAGAAAGGTCACTTCCATTCCAGCTTAATAAGAAGTTCCTAACCCTTGACCCCTGGCCCCCACAGAGTGGGGCTTGCCTGAGGTCTAGCATGGAACTAGCCTGCAGGACCGTGTAGCTGGGATCCTCTCCCTACTTTTCCCAGCACCCCGGGTGTTCCCCATCCTCAGTGCAGCCTCCAGCCAGCCTGGAGGTCATGTGACCCTGGCTGTCTGGTCCTGAGGCTGCCTTTTTTCCCTTCTAATCAAATAAACAAAGACTCCAGTGTCTCCCAGCCCCACTCCCCCGCCTCCCCATCCCCACACCCCTGCCCGTGAGGTCACAGGCAGCCACTGCCAGGAAGCAGGGTGGCCACTGCTGGGCCCTGCTGCCTTGCGGCCTCTTCCCCACCCACCTTTTCCTCTCGGCCCTTCGGCCCTTTTTCCTTTCCCAGGCTAGAAGGCCCGTTCTCATTAGCGTCTGGGCGCCAAGCTGGCCTGTGTCCCTGGGCTTCTTAGACTGGCTTGTAGGGCTGGACCTGTGCAGCCGCTGGTGGCTGGCCGAGCCACTTCTTGGGATTTATCTTAGTTGTGCCTCTTTTGAGCTGGCTCCCAAAGGTTATAAGGTGTCCAGGAGTTGGGGTTGTGACCTGATGGTCCTCCTCTGGGAGCCCTGGGCCAGCACAACGGGATTTTCTGAGCTCATTTTCCTCTCAGGCAGCCAACACCACACAGATGCCCACCGCTGGGGATCGGGCACGTGTGAGCTGGTCCAGCAGCGCTGCTCCGTCCATCTCTTTCAGCCTAGAGGAGTGGAGAGCGTAAAACTTGGCCCCTGACTCTCTGTCTGCACTCATGTGCCTGCAGCCACTGAGCTTATTCGTGTGTCCCTGCTCCTGGATGCCACCACCTGCACTAGCGTGGGCCCTACTGTCTCGAAGCCACTGAACAGGAGCAACACTGGGATAGAGGGCTGGCCTCAGACCCCTTCCCCACCACGGAGCCAGTGGCCCTAGCAGCCCCCGGTTGCACTGTAGCCCCTCCCTGTGCCACAGTAGCCCCGATGGCTGTGCTGAGAGGCAATTGCCAGGGTGTCCTGGAGTTTCTGACATAACTGCAGCTCTGCTGCCAGGATCGAATTTACCCTGGTCATGCAAATCAGCATTGGGCAGTGCCTGGCACAGGGGCTGGGCAGAGCCCCACATGAGAGGAGGATGCCCAACCAGGAGGAAGTTATATAATGAGGATGCTGAGGGGCCCAGCCAAGGGCACCCTGCATTACGTAACCATAACGGGGGGTGCTGAGGGAGGGAAGGTGGCCTGGGAGCTGGGAGCCAGCAGAGGTCTGGAGGTCAGTGTAGGCTTCCGCCTCAGACTGTTGAGGTAAGGAGCCTTGGGCTGGTCATTTGCAGCCATTTGGCGACCGTTTACCAAGTACTCACTGTGTGCTAAGCCCTGGTGTTCATCAGGTTTAATTCCCTCAGCATGGCAGTGTTACCCCATTTCACACAAGCAGCAGCTGGGACTGTTTGTCCAGAAGGGAAGAAGCCACTGTGATTGCTATCACTGAGCATTCACTTGGACCCAAGACTCAGCGCTGCGTTTCTTCATTTACTCTGCAGTCCTGGGGATTGAACCTACCTTCCCACTGAGCTACCTCCCCAGCGCTTTTTTATGTTTTGTTTTTATGTTTTTGAGATAGTGTCTTGCAAAGTCAGTAAGTTGACCAGGTTAAACTTGAAATCCTCCTGTCTCAGCCTTCCCGAATGCTGGGATTACAGGCATGCACCACCCTGCCCAACTTCTAGACTCATCGCTTTAGATATATCTTTTTAAAAATTTAAAAGTTGTGGTTGGACACCTGTAACATAAAATTTGCCATGTTGCTAGGCATGATGGCTGAGGCAGGAGGATCATGAGATTAAGCCCATTGCAGGGTATGTAGTAAGACTCTTGTGTCAGAATTTTAGAAATCTTATCATTTTGACCATTGTTGATGTATAGTTCTGTGGCATTGAATACCTTTATAATGTGGTGCAGCCATCACCACATTCATCTCCAGGACTCGTTTCATCTTGTAAACTGGAAGCTGTACCCATTAAATGCCAACTCCCACTTCTTCTCCTCCAACCCTGGGCAACCACTATTCTACTTTGTGTTTCTATGGTCTAGACTGCGCTAGGTACCTCATGGGTGGAATCTCAGAGTCTGTGTCACCTTTTTGTTTTTCCCTCCTGGAGACAGTGTGTCGTTTATAGCCTGGCCTCAACCTTATGGGGATTCTCCTGCCTCAGCATCCCAAGTGCTGAGATTACAGGCACGTGCCACCATTCCCAGCACTGTCTTTTGTACCTGCTTATCTCACTTAGTGTGACGTTTCCTAACTTCATCCCATCCACGTTGTAGCAGGCATCAGAATTTCCTTCCTGTTCTTTCTTTTGTTTTCCTTCCTGTTTGAGGCTGCATAATACTCCATTGCATGTCTGTACTAAATTTTGCTTATCTATTCATCCCTGGATGGACACATAGATGGTTCCTGCCCTTTAGCTGTTGTGACTAATGCAGCCTTGAACATGGATGTATAAACTAGATACAGTTTTTATGTGTTTATTGTTTTGCAATGCCAGAGATCCAACACAGGACCTGTGCATGCTAAATGTGCCTTGCCCCAGAGCCACACCCTCCGCCCTGGCTGCATCAGTTTTTATTAATGATCTCCACATGCGCCAAGGCAGATTGCACTGGTATTTGCCTTCACAAATGTGGAAATGGAGGCCATGATCAGCAGACCACCCAGCGTGGAGGCCCCACTGCTTAGCTGGGTAGAAAGGCTCTGGGGCTGAGGTGGGAGGGGACCCATGCGTGGAGGAGTCAGTACGGGAGTCAGTACCAGAGTCAGTCTGGTCCATGCCATTCCTTTACCTGTGTGAGGAGGGGGCGGAGCTGCTCTCCAGTGTCCTTTTCACAGGCCCAAGGCCCGAAGTGGGACCCTGCTCTTCAGGAGTCCGGCATGTGTTTTAGCTGAGGCCAGGGCTGGTTGTAGGGCCCACTGGAGAGCTGAGGGTGCCCTGGCTCCTACTCTGCCTGGGCTGGGTGCAAGACCATTCCTCCTTAACAGGACAAGCGGAAGCACAGAGACCCGGCAGGCAGCCTGGGGTCCCTTCTCAGCTGGATCTGTCTCCTCCTCTGCACCCAGGCCCTGGTGTTAGACCTGGTGTGGGGCCATTTTGGTTTGACTTTGAGATCTGGGGTAGGGAGCTTCCTGAAGACTCCAAGGTTCTAGGTGTAAATAGCATATCCCTGCATGATTCCTGCACTCAGGAGGCTGAGGCAGGAAGATTGCCATGAGTTGAGGCCAGCCTGGGCACAGAGTGAGACCCTGTCTCAAAAAACAAGCAAATAAACAACAAAAATAACCCAAACAAAGCCACCCCAAAGACGAGAGTGCTGTAAAATATGTGTGACACACCCCACCCGTCTCACTTGCAGGTCAGTGACCTCAAATTCCAGGCACCCAGCGGGGAGGAGAAGGAGTCCTGGATCAAAGCCCTCAATGAAGGGATCAACCGAGGCAAGAACAAGGCTTTTGACGAGGTATGTTACAGTCCCATCATGGCTGTGGTCCTGTGTCGGGAGGGGACCCCACCCTGGACCTCGCCTTGATTTTGTCACCGCTAGAAATGCTGGGGCGTGCGGAGATATTTCCTTGAGTCGTCCTAACAGTTTCTCAGAGTAGGTGATTATGCCCCCATTTTAGAGATGAAACCGAGGCACAAGGGAAGTAAAAACGTGTTTTGACTGTAAGAGCATGCCAGGCTCTCTGGGAAAGTTCATGCATGTACAGCCCAGCACCCCAGAAGGCTGAAGTAGGAGGCTCAAAGGCTGATGTCCAGCCTCAGCAACTCAGAGAGACTTTGTCTTAAAATAAAAAATAAGCTAGGGATGTAGCTCAGTGGTACAGCAAGGTTGTGAGTTTGATCCCTGGTACCAAAAATAAATAAAAGTTGTCTGGAGATGTAGCTCAGTGTGACAACCCTTGGTTCCATTCCGAGTACCATAGAAACCACAAACTTGTCAGTGACTGGGTCAGATTGAACCATTTGCGGCTTCAGGGGCTAAGCTAATAGCAGGTGGCCCAGGCCCGAGAGCAGGAGGTGGGCCCTGAGATCCAGGCCACTTGACTGTGAGCCTGCAGCCCTGTGGATGGCAGCCCCACACTGTAAGGGTGGGGATCCAGGGGAGGGGAGGGGCAAGGTGTCCCTGCAGCCAGGATCTCTTGGGAAGATGAGGGTTTTTCCCTTGTGGTGGTGCTGGGGATCAAACCTAGAGCCTGGCTTGTGCCTTTGCCGTTTGTGGCCTACACACTCACTGGCTTCAGCCAGAGGCAGGCGCCCTACACTGTTTGGCTTTGGCATCATAGGTGCTTGACCATTTGGGTTAAAATGGGCATGGGGCCTCATGAGCGGGGCCCCTGGCTGCTGTGTTCCCCAAATCCTGCGTCTTGCTCCCCCTTCCCTGCCCGCGGGGCAGGGCTCTGATCTTGGCAGAGAGGATGACGAGTGGCTTCATTGTGGGAACTGGGGCAGGCACAGGAGCCAGGGCTTGGGCTTCAGCCCAGCCTCAGCAGAGCAGTGGAGCAGAGATAGCTGGAGCCCCTGGTGGCCCAAGTACCCCCTGCTTCCTGGGAGGGACACGCCAAGTGGGGCTCCACCTGCTCCTCATACCTTCCTCGGCTCTCAGAGGGGCTGCTGTGCTCTGGACTCCTAGGCAAGGGCAGGCTGTGCTGTGTGGGTCCCAGCACTGGGGGCCGGGCTTCTCCCTGACCCTCCAGCTGAGCCCATGGTGACCTCCAGGTGCTTAGATGTCTGCAGGCCAGCAGGCAGTCAGGGCCGAGGGCCCACATTTGGGCAGAGAGACTGAAGCAGGAGTGCAGCAGCCATGAGGATACAAGGTCCCGTGGAACTCTCCCACTCCACCCAAAGCCCGGCGTGGGGCTGACCTGCTTCCCTGTCCCCCTCAGGTGAAGGTGGACAAGACCTGTGCCCTGGAGCACATAACTCGGGACCGGGTGCACGGGGGCCAGCGACGGCGGCCGCCCACCAGGATCCACCTGAAAGAGGTAAGGCCATGCCTCTCCATAGACAGGGACAGCAGTGAGCCAGGGCCTCAGCTTCTCAGGGGTAGTGGGGCAAGAAGGAAGGGCAGTGGCAGCATCCGAGTCGCCTGTGCACAGGGTGCTGATGTCCCCTGAGCCTATGGCCTTGTTCATGAGGGGTCCAAACACTGGGCAGCGTTGGCCACAGGGAAACCGAGGTCCGTGGGGTAAGTCCAGCCTCAGAGATGGCTTTTAGTCGGAACAGCCCTGTCCCCAGACAGGATGCTGTGCACCGAGGCCCTGGGTGGCCTGGTGGCTCCTTGTGTGTGGGAGGTTGGCTGGGAATGGGGGGCTGGAGGAGGACCTGTGGATGCTGAATTGGGGACATGATGGGATGGCTCCTTCCAGAGGTCACTCAAAGGCCCGGTAGGGTGGGTCTGGTGAAGGCGGGAGAGGCAGGTGGCCAGGAAGGAGCAAAGGCTGCCCACAGGCCAGGCAGATGTGAAGGGAGAGGCTGACAGGAGACACAGGAGCAGGAGCCACCCAGCCCATGCCTCAGTGTGGGGACCGGACAGCAGGACGGTGGCCTGGAGCTGGGGTGGGGGAGTCTGTGAGGGGCAGGAGGGGTGGGTTTTGGAGGCTGAGCAAGAGCTTGGCCAGCAGTGTTTGGGCCATGGAGGGGAGCAGCCAAGGATGGAGAGCCAGAGAGGCAAGGGCCTCCTGTGAGATGGGCCCCGGCCCCTTGGCCCTCAGCCAAGTGACAAGGGCGGGCCTGAGGAGACAACATGTTTTCCGAGTGAAGTCAGCCTTGGGCTATCGTGGAGTGCAGAACTGGGGGTGCCCAGAGGGAAGGAGCTTGGCTGGGGGCGCCCCAACTTGTTGGAGGCTTTGTTGTCAGACCCACCGGCCTGTCCTTGTCTGTCACTTGGGAGGAGGGAACCCAGCCCAGAAGGAGCCTCGAAACTCAGGGTGGGCCAGTGTGTGTGTGGGTTCCTCCCAAGGTCTCTGCTGATTTGAGGTGGGCTCTGGCCAGGTTTCCTAGTACACATGGGTTCCAGCCAAGGGACCCAGGGAGAGACTTCCTTCCTGTCTAGCCCAGCTCCACAGCATTCCAGGCTCCCTGGGGAGGTCCCCATGACAGGGGGCTGCTTGGTGTCCCTGGGCCCTTGGAGTTGGGGTTGTAGCTGTTCCCCGGGCCACACCAAAGACACAAGGGGCAGGGCATGAGCTGCTGAAGGGCAGGCAGTGTGAAGGAGCTTGAGAACTTGGGGTACCTCTATCAGACCCAGTGGCAGTCAGCAAAGGTGACTGCCAGGTCCTGTCCTCCCACAGGTTGCCAAGGCGGCTTCCGACGGGCTTGTGCGCCTGGACTTCGATGTGCCAGACAGTGGCCCACCTGTGCTCATGCCCAGCAGTGCCGTCAGTGTGGCCCAGCCCCAGCCCCAGGAGGCACTCAGGCCTCCTGCCAAACCTTCCGCAGTCCCTGAGACCACTAGCCTCGGTGACACCGTGGAGCCCCCTGCAGGAGACAGGGTCCCAGCCCCTGTCTCCGCAAGCGCTGAGGCCCAGCCTGAGAGCCCCTCAGACTCTGAGAAGCCAACAGAGGAGGACAATGGGTCCAAGGAGCCCCCCAACAGCACCTTACTTGACAAAGTGAAGGTGGGCTGGGAGACCCCCGGCCCTGAAGATACTGCAGTTCCTGAGGAGCTCCCTGCTCCTGAGAAGGCTCCCACTCCCGAGAAGCCCCCCATTCCTGAGAAGCCCCCCACTTCTGAAGAGCCCCCTGCTTCCCACAGTATGGAACTGAGCCCTGGGCCCTCTTTGAAGACTTCAGAGACTTCCCGCCGGGAGGGTCGGAAGCCTCCTGCACCCCCGCCCAAGGTCTTATCAGAGAAAATGAAGGCCTGCCTGAACCGTGGAGAGGCTTCTGGGTCCTCCGCCCCCAGCCCTACGCCGGTCTCCATGAATGGTGTGGATGATGGGCCCGAGCCTGTCAAGGCCTCCCCAGATGAGGGCATCCCAGGAACTACCCCAGAGGAGGTGGCAGGGTCCCTGGCACAGCCCTCGCAGGACTCGTCACCTCAGTTCTACTCCCGCTGTTCCTCCCTGGGGGACCTGCTTAAAGATGGCTCACAGTGTCCCCAGCTGCCTGGGGAGAGGCTGTACCGAGCCCAGCTGGAGGTACGGATGGCCTCCAAGCAGACGGAGAGACTGCTGGGCAAGGTCCTGGGCAGCCAGCCACCCCCTGCACACACCGAGACCCTGCTCAGCCAGGCCGTGGAGCAGCTGAGGCAGGCCACACAGGTCCTGCAGGAAATGAGGGATTCGGATTCCAGAGAGCCTGGCCAGGAGGCCCCTGGCTTCAAGAAGAAGCAGAAGGATCTGGTGACCCTGTACCGGAGAAGCATGCCCTAGGCTGCGAGGCCCAGCCCCTCAGGCTCTAGAAGGGCGTCATGTGTCAGGGTTTGGCTGGGACTGGAGCAGACCCCCTTGTCCCTGCTGGCGTGCTCTGCTCAGTGTCAGGTACATCCAGGGTTGCTGTGTGGCTCTGTGGCCTGGCCATGCCCCAGGCTCAGCCCATATGCCTAGGAGTTGTTCCACCACCCCCAGGCTCTGGCTGTGAGCAAGGGGGTCTGGGGAGGGCATTGTCTGCTCCCCACCCCTGGTGGTTTACATTCCTGACCTGGGAAGAGCACAGCTGAGCCTCTGTGACCTGGTTTCCAGATACCCCTGGCCATCCTTGCCTCCCACCTCCGGTGACTTGGCCGGGCCTTCCGAGCAGGTGGGAACCCTCCGGTAAGGAAGCTGCTGGCTGCTGGGCCTGCTTCCTGGGGCCCCAGCCCCTTGGGGCTGTGATTAGAGGCCCGGGTCTGGGGGATTTGTGGAGAAGAGGAACCCAGGGATCTCTAGTCCCATCCTAGACCAGCCTGTGTCCAGCCTTGCAAACCCTGGAAGTGGCCCAGCGTCCCCATATGGACAGCTGTGTGGAAGAGGCTTCAGGACGCCCTTCCCCGTGCTTCCCTATGAAGATCTAGTGGATCTCTTGGTTCCTCTTGGCTCAGACAGCTCTAGTGTCCCCGTCATTTCCTCATGCGTTGTCCTAAGGCCACCTTAGGCCCCGGCCCCTCGTGGGCTGCCTGTCCTCACTTCCCATGACGAGGAGCCTTTCCTCCCGTTCCACTCCTTTCCCAGCCCTGACTCTGGGTTGAGGTGGAGCCCACTAGGGTCGCCCCGAGGTCTGCGCATGTGCACTTTCGTTTACTGGAGAAGGGGTCCCTGCAGCATGGTCTGGCCTTTCTGCCACTGGTTGTGCCCACTGAGCCCTGCCAGCACAGGCCACTACCGACCTTGCTGCACTGTCACTGTGCTGGGGCAGGGGAGGGGTCATGGGCAAGGGAAGGGGGCAGAGGTGAGCCACACTGCTGGGCCGCGGTCCTCGCGTCCCCCATCTGTTCCCTATGAGAGAAAGAGCGAGCGTCACCAGTTACTGCCTGTCATGCAGCCCCTGTGGTCACAGGCCCCTTTCTCCACCAGCAGCCAAGTCCTGTGTGACCAGGAACTGGAGCCTTGGTGTCCTTTGTCAAGTGGTGGCCAGGTGGGCCTAGAGGGTGAGAGGGGCTGCCCTTCGCCTCCTTGGGGAGGAGGCATTCAGTGTCTTTTGCTTATGAAAAGCCTTTCTTGAAGTTTGGCAATAAATCCCTTTTTACAAACTCTTCTGCCTCAAGCCTGTTGATGTCTTTATTTTTGGTAGCGGAAATCGAATTCAGGTTCAGGTCCGTGTGCTGCGCTGAGCTGCCAGACCTGTGCCGGTTTTTGGACATGAGAGTCGAGTGCAGCTCCCAGTGCATTGTCCATCCTGCCGGCCCGGCGGTGTTCACCCCCTACCTGTTTGCAGCAGCTAGGGCTGAGTGGCCTAAGGAACGTGGTTTCCCTCCTAAGGCCAAACTGGCCTTGAACCCATGGTGATCCTCCTGCCTCAGCCTCCTGAGTGCTGGGATTACAGGTGAGCACTGATAGAACTGTGGAGGGGAGGAAGAGGAGGCTGAAAAGATAAGAAGTATGAAATATAAATAACTTTTATTTTGGGAATGCGAGGAGAGACACCCCCGACCCTCTGGGGCGTGGCATCTCCACCCCGGGCCGGCGATCTCTCCGTGGCATTCCCAAAATAAAGGTTATTTATATTTCATACTTCTTATCTTTTCAGATGCTGCGGGTCCTCCTCCTCTTCCTCCCCTCCACAGTTCTATCAAGCACCAGTTCCTTCAATTTTTTTTGTAATTTGGAAATAATTTAAACAGAAAAGTTGTAAGAATGACCAGTACAAAGAACACAGCCCTCACTGACTCATTGTTTTATCTCTTAGCACTTGCTTAGGAGAACACATTGTTTTGTTTTGTTTTTTTCTGAATTATTGCAAAGTTAGTTTTCATGGTCTCTTGCCCCTAAATACTTCCTTATGCATTCCCTGAAACTAAGTATCTTTTCTCATGGAACCACAGCATGTTTATCAGTGTTGGGAAAGTTAACATCAGTTAGTAATTTATGTTCCAATTTAGTCATTTGACCTAATAATATTCTTTATTATAATTTTCCTCTAGCTATTAACAAGTACTACCTGCAGCTGTTTCTCCACCTCTGTCTTTTTTTCTTTACTGTCTTTGAGTCAGGGCCTCACTGTGCAGTTTAGGCTGCCTTGAGGTCACTTTGTGGTCCAGGCTGTTTTCCAACTCACAGCGATGCTCTTGCCTCAGCCTGCCGACCGCTGGGATTACAGATGTACACCGCCAAGCCAGGCTCTTATTTTTTTTGGTCCTGGGGATTGAACCAGGGTTTTCATACTGAGCCACACCCTACCCATTTCTTATTTTTTTATTTTGAGACAAGGTGCCACTAAATTATCCAGGCTGGGCTTAAACTTGTGATCCTTCCACCTCAGCCTCCCACAGCACTGGGACTGGAGATGTGTACAGCCACAGTGGTCATTGCTCCTTAGTTTCCTTTAAGCTGAGACATTTCTACAGTCTTTCACGACCCCTGCCCCCACTCTTTTAATAGACTGGGCCACCCTGGGGCTGTGTCTGAGGCTCCCCATGATTAGACGCGTTCTAGCTCTTAGAAAAAATACCAGGTAGCACTGGGTCCTTCTTAGAATGTCACATCTAGAGCCACAGCCACCTACCCCTTACATGCGTGATTTTTTTTTCACTAATAAGCAGTCTGGGGGAGGCACCTGGAGACCAGGAGCAGATCTATTGTACTTTCCCCTAAGTAATAACACCCATCGTGTGCCTTTGAGGAACAGGTGTTTCCTGGAACAACTAAAATCAAAAGGATTCCAGCAGTGTCTCACCCCAGAGCCTGCTCCTGATTTGGGGAGAGTTTAGGCCCTGTTTCTTGCCTGGGGACCTCTGACACATCCCAGCACCCCACAAGAGCTCTGAGAAGCCCTATACTCGCAGACAGAGCTCCAAGCCAGGCTGCCAAATCTCCTGTCCTACCCGGGGACTTCCCGAGTGCCTCAGACTTGGAGCCTCAGTTTCCAGAACTTGAAAGAGGATGATGGTGCCCCCCAGTCTCCCATGTGGGAAAGCACCACCCTGCTTGCTAGAGGCTGGTTCTCCCTCTTCCTCCTTGGGTCACTGGACAGAGCTGCTGGCCGGCATAACAGGAAGCACCTGACCTGGGACCTGTCAGCTGTGGTTGTGACCTTGTGTTCTGCATGAATTCTCCTGCTGCAGGCCTGGCCTGGGACAGTGATACTGAGTGCCCTGCAGAGTGTGGAGGACCTCAGATGAATCAGTTCCCCCTCCCAGGCTCTGTTCCTCCCTGCCAGAGGAACTGGGTCCCCTCTTCAGGGCCACCTTGCAGGGAGCAGCGACTGGGACAGTGTGGGTGACCTGCCCCCGGGCTGTGGAAGAATGTGGTAAGGACTCTTTCCCTTTATTCTCGGGGCTGGGACCCAGGGCAGAGCAGTGGAACCTTCCTTCTGAACACAGGCTGTGATATCCAGTGGCCTCAAGTCCTGTGGGCAGTTTCAGGGCTGGGTTTTGCCTACCACAAGCAGCCACCTTCAGACAGGACCCATGTCAGGGTGGGGAGACCCCGGTGGGAATAGGGGTCCTCACTGGCTTGCTCTCTAGCTCTGCCCAGCCTGGGCCCTGGAATTGTCCCTGTGTCTGGAGCCAATGAGTTTGGGGTTTGGAGCTTGCCCCAAGTCCCCTCTGCCTGCTTCCCTCGTGGCCCAGACAAACAGGGCCCTTGGGAAAAACCACAGAAACTGGCCCTTGTGGAGGTTCCTGTGACAGTGGCTCTAGGAGGAAGCACAGGACGATGGGGTGATAGCAGAAATTCTTCCCTGTTGTCATAATCTTACTAAAAACCAGAATTCCCCGCAGGAAACAGCGGGGTGTAAGCAGGAAACCTGTGACTTTAGATTTGGAGGCAGACACACCTCAATTCAAACCAGGGTCCTGGTTCTACTCCAGTCCCGCAAACAGCCCAGGGGTGACTTCTGGCCAATCATGCCTCTGTTTCCCCATCTGTACAGTGGGCATCTCTTCCCTTGTCCAGCCAGTTGTGTGTCACTGGACTGGTAGGAAGTGCTGAATCCAGGCTCATAGAGCGCCTATCCGATAGCTTATTGCTTTTTCATCACAGAGGACTCTCGAGGGCCACAGAGGAAACTGAGGCTCATGTGACTTTTCTAGGAGACCAAAGAGAGGACCTGGTAATTGATCGCCCAGGGCAGCATCCTCCCAAGGTCTGGGACTTCAGGGGCTGGGCCTGGGGCTCCCCGCCTTCCTGTAGCTGGAGGATGCCCTGGGGTGACGCCTGGCTCCCCAGCCAGCTGTGGCCTTGCCTTATAAGGACAAGGACTGAGTGGTGATGAAACCGCGGCCTCCCGCGGGGGTGGGGGGGTGGGGAGTGGGGGGGTGAGGAAGGGGGAGGGAAGTGCCTGGGCTCGAGGCTGCAGCCCTGAGCCTGGCTTCCCAGGAACTCGCCCTTGGCTCCTTGCCAGGCCTGCGTCAGCAGCTGACGGGGCTTTCCAGAAGGGCTCGTGGCAGGAGCGGGGCTGAAGAAGGTCCAGGCAGGGCCTGAGAGCCCATAGCAGGCAAGTGGCGCTCCCTGAGGCCCAGTGAGCAGGGACCTTTCCTTTCCTTTCCTTTTTTTCCCTTTCCTTTCCTTTTGTGACTGGGGACTGAACCCAGGGTCTTGGCACTGAACTATGTCCCCAGCGTTCTTTTTTTGTCTCCTGTTTTGAGCCAGAATGTTGCTAATGGTGCTAAATTGCCCAGGCTGGGCTCAAACTTGAGATTCTTCTGCCTCAGCCTACCCATGTATTGGTGTTAAAGGAAGGCACCATCATACCTGCCTGGCCCAGAACCCCTTCCTAAAGTAGGGAGTGCACAGGTCTGGACTCCAAGTTCTAGGGCCATCCAGCTCCAGTCTGGTCAGGGCCATCAGAGGCCCTGGAGAGGAAGGTCCAGGAGGCCTCAGAGGAGTCTCTCTCTTTGTCCCTTTGAATCTCCAAGGTCAAATCACAGGGAGGCTGCAGGAGCCCCCTCTTCCTTCCCTACGTCCTTAGGGTCCTGTGTCCTTAAGAATTCATCAGCCCACTGCCTTCTCCCTGAGAAACTCATCGTGACCCCAGGGCCGGGAGAGAAGGCTGATGTGGGTCTCTGAGGCCAGTTAGCTCACCTGCTATTTGCTTTTTCTCTCTTTGGTTTTTTTGAGACAGCTCAGACTGGTCTCAGATTCACAGGGATCCTCGTGCTTCAGCCTCCCAGGAGATGACAGGTGTGTGTCACCAGGCTGGGCTGACCTGATGGTTTTAGAGAAGAGAGGAAGGAGGAGCTCAGTGGTAGGGGCTTTGTTAAAAATGTGTGTGTGTGTCCATGTTCCTCAGTTTCCTATTAAAAGTTTCTTTTTAAGCAGTCCCAGCCGAGCTAGGGATGTGGCTTAGTGGTAGAGCACTTGCCTGGCATGTGGGACCCCTGGGCTTCATCCCCAGCTCTGCAAAAACAAACAAAACAGAATAAAACCCCCAGCAACAATATTCCCCAGCTTGGCAAAGGAATGCAAGGCCAAAGGACTCTTGTCCCTTCCGGGTGTGATTAGCTATGGGCCTGAGCATCCTGGAGATCTGGGCTGGGCTTGGCCAGGAGGCCAGGCCGAATCCTGAAGGTGGACAGGACTGGCCTGCAACCTTGCTGTGCGTTTGCTGTTCAACCCGAGGTGGCCACCCAACCTCTCTGACTCTCAGTCTCGGCTCTCAGGGAAGATGGTCGCTTCTGGAGGGGAGACGTTGGAGATGAAATGAGTGTTTATTTTATTTCTTTCAGTTTTTCCTGGGCTGGGTCAACACTTTCTTTTCAGACTCCCCCACCCCCTCCAAAATGAGATCATTTAGAAATAGCCTGTAGCTCAGAGCCCACAAACAGGAGGGCTTGGAACTCAGGTACCCATGCCATTTGCTGGGTGCCAATATTAACTATGGTGGACTCTGGGTATGGTGACCTGGCATTCTCCCCCTGTTGTTTGCTGGAGGACCCTAACTCTAAAGCTGAGGTCAAACTCTGTGTGAGACAGACAGGCATGTTTCACAGCAGCATAGGACAGAGACCCTGAGCTCCTTTGCTGGGGCAATCACATGTGGCTTCACAGTGGAGGTGACTTTTGCTTGGGCTTCCACAGAGGAGTAAGAGTTTAT